ATTCCATTATTTCTTTGTGTCTCACAGCCTGGTTGCTTTTAAGGCCAATTATTTTGAGTGAGGCCTCAGCAGTCCTCCAACAAAATTCTACAATTTTATTAGTTTCTAATTAATTTTAATACCATTTTAATGAATCCCATTTTATTTGTTTTTAATACGTGACACTGTCTGCCGTGTTATTATTTTTTAAATGTATGAAAAGTTGTCAGTAAAGCCTTGTTCACTGATGGATTTTTAACTTTGTGCAGTGTCCTGGTTTCTGTAGTCTGCCAGTGGCTGGCTCTGTGTTCCAGTAGATACAGCGAATAGCTTCACCCTATTTCAGATTGTGATGGCTCTTCCTTTTACTGCTGTTCAACACTATTATACCAGTTTTGTGTTCTTTTGATTTCTTTGATAGTTGAAGCCTGGTTGCTTCTTTTCTCAGTAGTCAGCTAATCCCAGAATAAAAAAGGCAATGTATCCCCTATTAGACCATCATTTTCCTTGTTGATGAGAGCTTTTACATTGGTTTTAACCAAAGAACAGCTCTGTGAAGCTTAGGAGTTCAATCCTCAGCGACTCTTGGTGCAATAAAATGTGTGAGGCACCTGGGGTGTTCCTGTCCTCCTCTCTTCATTGTGATTATAATGCTGCAAATTCAAAGCTATTCTTAGATTTTGTTTAATAATTATTACGGACTTCTCAGGAAGACAAATAACCAGGCACTTGAGCAGGACCTGATAACAAAATCTACATGATTATGTTGCTCAGCTCCTTGATCAGTTACAATAGCAAAAAATAAACTAGAAAACTTGACAAAAGTTGCCTGCTTAGTGTGCTACTATATTATAGTGAAGATCCTCTTAATTAAAATTGTTTCCCTTCACATACACAATGGAATAGGCGGATGTACTACTGGGCAGGTAGATGTTCTTTGGTCTAGGAAAAGGCTTTTTTACACATCTGAGCACTCTCCCTCCTTCACTGCAGTAGGATTAATACAGGATATGAAGGTGACCATCCAGGCACTAGATAGGTCTACTGGTGGGCCTGTCCCATCTACATCAATGCAGAAAGCTGAAGTAGCAGTGTGCGGCAAATACATATTTTTTCTGTTTCAACACTTACTGGACATCAAAATTCCCAATGAATTTACATGAGTACATGCAGCTGATTATTCTTCTGTCACATTATAATCTCTAGAAAAATGTTTTATGTCAAATGGTCCTCAGGTATGGATTGTAAAATATATTATAAGGAGGAGTGTGTGTATGCTGTGGTAAAATAGTCGCACATTTTACACCAGGGTAACCCCATGTGTCTAAGTTATGCAATTAATAAATAGATGTATGCACATTTACTTAGCTTGCATAATTCTCTTTTTAAGATGTCACTTTCAAAGAATTTGGAACTTTTTGCAAAGAGTGGGGATAGACAGATGGTAGAAAGTTTTGGAGATAGATAAGCTGATATGTTTATATTGTAATACCAACAAGGTGAACTGATTTAAATCAGAAGGAAAACAAGTAGATTTAATTACTGATTTAAATCAAGTTTCCCACTGAAACTTTTTCTTATATTTCTTGTACAATGGTGCAAATCTGAGCACTAAGCCACACTAATTTACAACAAAATATGTATAGCTTCATTCTTAAAAGCGGGCATAAAACTTATTCCAAGATAAGTGGGCATAAGCTTGCAACCTTTGCATAGGAATAATGAACAATTGCACTGGACAATTTTAGTTCCGTTTTTTTTCCTTTCTAGTGTTACTCTTTCCGCTTCATATTAACTCCAAGCCTCAATGGTTTGTCAGCTGTGGGCAGTTTGCATAACCACTGCATGGTGTATGGTTTACTGGGTCATCTGAATAGCGGCATCATGGTTTGTTGGGAGGATTAAAGAATGCTCTAGTGTCTCTAACCCCCGCCACCCCCATGACTTGACAGCTGTTTAACCTTTCAGTGAGCCATGTTGTGCAGGCTCAGATGAACCAGTAGGTTGCAGTTGTGCAGCACTTTTGTAAAAGACACTTAGCACACATTGTGATGCACAAGGCTTAGGTTATATGAATCAGTCCCCTCCTACCTTGTCCACTCTTGTATACAGAAAAACCCAAATTAGATTTTTAAAAGCCATTTTTAAGCATCAGATTTTATCCACCATGCTATATTGCCGGCATCCTAACTCTTCCACCTTATTTAATCCAATTGTACCACATGAACACAGAAAACAAATCCTATACAGGTCTGTGTCTTTGCATATATGAATTTAGAACTTCCAGGAAATAAGAACTAGTAATTAAACTGGACAGAACCATTTATCATAGATGGAAAAAAAATGAACTGAATGTCCAAGTTTCATTGATGATGAACATTTTTATGAAGCTGTACAAGGTTTAGCATGTTTATGAGATTTGATGGTAACATTTTGGGAAATACAGTATTTTATTTAATTATCTTTAAATTTAAGAAATTGCTGTTTTTACCTATCCTAATTAAGTCATGGAGGCATGACATGAACTGTACAGGGTGCTAATTCTGTCATTGCAAGCTACTGTGTACAACTCATTAGGGCTTCTAAAATTGATAACAGAAATCAAAAAGCAACATCTGGTAAGTTCAGGAAATTAGATTTTGTTCTTACATAGTGAAACTACAGCAGAGATACATAATCCTGCTCATTGGTAAATTACTACTCTAAGGGAGATAAACAATTGAATGCTTACTCCATATCTTAAATTGATGCAAGGGCAGTCCTATGAACGTTTAAACGGGGGGGGGGGGGGGGGATCTACAATTCCCAGCATGCTCCAGCTGGTTGTATAGGCTTCAGAATGCTGGAAGCTGCAGGTCTTGAAACAGAAGCAAGGCCTACAACTTTAGACAGAAACATGTACAAGATTGTACCATAATTCTCTTAAATCCCTCTTCTGAAAGACATGAATAGCTATTTAGAATTTAGCTGTTGGCCCCGCTAATTCACTGGAATTAGCCACCCTATTTCATTTGTCTCTACAGTGCTAATCTAGTTTCGTTAAGCAACAATCATGATAAAGAGGGCTTATTAAAGGACAAATTTCCAGTGATGACTCTGCCTAATGTCTGAAGTAGTCAGAACACTTCACTGTAGTGAAGTTGCTTCTAAGCCTCAATGAATGTACTTGTTCCCCACGGTTTGTGGCAAAAACAGAACAAGCTAGAGTATTGGGGTAGGTAAGCCATAGTATCATGTTTGGTCTACTGTAGGCTAAAGAAATGAGAAAACTGGAAATTAGTTCTGAATGACTTCAATACTCTTAAAAACAAGTGTGTCTTTCTAAATAGCTGTGGTCACTTCCAAAAACATGTTAAGAATGGTAAGATGTATAGATCACGTTAAGAAGAGACAGTTTTTCTTAACTCCTTTTCTAGATTACTCTTCTCCGAAGAATATCTACCTTACAAAAATGATTAGTGTAGCCCATTATCTTTTGTTCAAAAACATCTAAAATTCATGGGAGAGACATTTAATTTTAACCAGGTGTTAATATTAAGCAAAATTGATGTCAGGACAAACAAAAATGTTCTGGCATCTTTTTGCATATATCTCTACATGCAAACAGAACAATCCAGGGAAATGAATGCCGCTTATAGTAAGGTAATGGTAAATATGATCCATTCCAGTTTTTTAAATTACTTCCCCCAAAATATTATGTACTTCATTTGAACTGCTGTCCTTGCTTACATGTATTCTAAATGTACTATTTCCAACACCCACAACCATGCAGAAGTTTGATTAATTACAAAGGGTGGGGGGGGGAAGACTGAAGGAGATTAAAGCATCCATGATTAGCCTACACGCAAGGACTTTTAAAATTATGAACCACTCAATATTTTTCCTTATAGCTGTAATGGTTAGGAAACATACATCAATGCAGAGATATTTGTATTCCACAGACGCCCCCATTGCTCAGAGGTTTCCAGGCTTTTGACTGACAGACAATATCTGCATATATCCGTGTCCTATTGCAGTTGTAGTATCCAGCCTGTGAGCTTGTAGGTTGTGCAAATGTATCTGTGGCAAGTAATTAATACATCAATTGTCTCTTAAACAAAGGGATGTGTGGAGGAGAAATCTGGAGCGCTTGTGTTAATAAAGGAGAAGCAATGCCAGTATTTATCATTACTGGGAATCATTTATATCATCAGTTCTGAACATAATACAGCCTTACAATTTTGAGATAAGCCCTCCCCCCCCACCCCATGTTTGGGAGACTTCTGTTCTAATTTAGATTCTATCTTTCCTAATTCTATAAGCAGAATAAATTGGTGTGCAATAAATGAATTATGTTCACAGGAAGGAGGATGAATATAGAAAATTAGTGAAGAGTTTGAAAACATTAAAAGATCTAGATGGGTTGACTCGTACTAACTTTGAAACTTTTTATTCCCATTTTCTGCACAATCTCACAAAGTGGCTTTACACAAACTGCTCTTACCCTGTATCCTTTATAGGAAAGATTGATTGGGGAGACAGTGATCTGCACTACAAGGCTGCTGCAGAACTCTCTTGAAAGGTTAAACTGTGTGTGTGTAAAACATGGGGTGGAGCCAGCAGGTTCTGTTCCTCTCTAGGCACATTTACTTTACATAGCTGTCACGTTTGCACAGTCCTGTCTGGTGCTATGCCCCTAATTTAAGAAGCAGCCTTAAAAATGAGAAAGAACATGTGCCTCCATTCCTGAACTGTTTGTCCATTAGAAAAGTTGGGTTCTTTCTTTCCCTCTGCTTGTCTCTACCCACTACACACTGCATAAGAGTGCAGGAACATTCACAGCACCCCGTTGAATGACCCCCCCCCTCCCCATTACAAAACTACTTTATGTCATTCAGTTAAATTCACGTGAATGCAGCCAAGGGTCCTGTATGAATAATCCTGCATTTGTGCATCATGCTGGGGCAAAATAATGCAGAAGAGAGCTTGAGAGACTTGAGACCACAACGAAGCAACAAATATATGCTACAGCAGCTCTGAGCTATGAACAGACAGGGTTTGAATTTTATTTTATTTTTTTAATAAATACAATTTACATTAAAGAAAAAGGCCTTCGATTTTCACACAGGGTGGGAGGAGATTAAAAATTTCAATCACAAAAAGTGGGATGGAGTGAGGAATTGATTACAGACTAGAGTTCTTCATCTCCAGCAATAGAAGGTTCTGAACAGGAGCAAACCGGACCTTCAGTCTTGCACCATGGCTACTACAGCAGGAACTCTCATAGGGCTTTCAACAGGACAAAAGCTATCTGACAAAAAATGAACATTTCACAGCAGGTAGTAACACCTCCATTAAAAAAAATATATTCAAAATAAAAATCACTCATCCACAATTGTATAATTCATGATTCTTTTTTCCCCACTCTGTTCAGTAAAAATGCCCTTTGTTATTTTTAACTGTTTTTTCTCCCCCAGAAATTCAACATGGTGACTAAATATTAGGATATAAATTCATACCCATTTTATAACACCTGCCTGTTTTGTTTTTGTTTTTTAATCCATTTTTCTTTGTTGTTTCATATAAAACTATTTCTGTTCTTTAGGAAAGAACTTTATACAAAGAAAATATACTGTGAAATATCTTCAGAAGTCTCCATGGAGAGGAAACTCATGTCTCAGCCTAAAAACCCAAAATAAAAAGGCAGAGAAAATAAAGGCCAAACCCCTGGTCTCTTTGTAGAAAGGCTCTGGATGTGCCAGGAGCCTTCATCTGTCCACTGCAAGATCAGAAGGACCGGAGTTCTTAAGATGTTCTCCCAAGAATTAGAATCTGAGAGGGTGCCCAGTATCACATCCTGATTTGGTCTTCTGGCTTCTGAGGCGGGAGCTTTCCTGCTGCCCACATCCTGTGAACTGGCCACTCCTCATTCATTCAGAGACAAGATTATGTCATCTTCCAAATCCAAATTATCTGAGCTGTCAGCTGAAAAGGGGACAAAGGGGTTATTTGAACAATACAATCATTCAAATGTAAAAAAAGATATCAAGCAGGATAACCTCTTCCCAATAAGCCCATAACTTCTAGCAGTAGCAACCAAAAGTCACTGCCATCCCTTTTAGTAGCATTATCATCTAGGAATCCAAGGCAAACTTGAAATAAACAGAAGAGATACGGTCCCTCCATCACAAGCCAAGTGCAACTTTCCATCATACACAGATCATCTACCACCACAGTAAGATGTCTTCATGACTCACAGAATATATACCAGAGAAACTGTAGAGCAGCTCTAAAATCCTCTGTATTGGGGATAAAAGATGCCAGTGGCATCTAATATAGGGTAAGTTCGCAGGGGCACAACATGGGCACAAGAATTTGTTCCTTTTGAGCTGAAGTATATAACAAATTTTTGTGGGAAGGGGCTACAGCATCTTTTAATTTAGGCTACTGAATATACTCAGGCACAATGGCATGCAGTCAATGCGACAAAATAAAACTTGTGTCTCTTTTCTACTCATTACATCACTGCACTATTCAGAAGGTGGACAAAGTTAATCCGCCCCCCCCACACACACACACGGAACAGATTCTGTTCCACATGCTATTTTGGCACCAAAACAAGTCTGGAATATAAAGATGGACAGGGCTACAGTTGAGTTTATTGCAAAGGCCTTGCAGGGTTGCCGAGAAAAGAGCATGCTCAGTCTCTCCCACCATTCCAGCTAGTGCCCTTACTCTGCCCATATTGCTATCAGAAAAAGCTACCTTTACCCCCAAACAGTGTCAGGTGATGGCATGCATGCTACTGGGCTGTTAGCAAATTCATCTGAAGAGAGGGGAAAGAGATTTGTGACCTATTACAATCCAGTGCTGTAGCTAAGATTAGGCCTATAGTTCAGGGGACAGAGGAGGTGTATCTATTCCTTGCTTTGCAAGTCGATAACATGCAGTAGTTTGGAGGGGCAGCTGCTACAACAAAGGATGGCTCCTATGTATGCCATAACCCCTCAGAATTGTATGTCCAGCCTAAGTGCGCACACAGGAAAGCAGGAAAAAAATTGTGACAAAGAATTTGATGGCTTGGCCCTCAAGGAACAATACCTCATCAAAACTGTTCAGCTTAATGAAGTCTAACAAACGTCAATCCAAAACCAAATTCTTGACAGCCTGAACATCAGATATGAAGTTACACTGTGGCACATGATTCAACAGAAGATTACTACCAGGGAAAGTATACAGAGGCATGTTTTGTCACGTAACAGCAGCTATTCCCTTCATTCACAAGCACTCTGCTGGAGTTTAACCCAGATGACTACTTATGTCTATGATACATTATACCCCTCCTTCTGGACTGCTTTGAATAGTCAGTAGAAATTTGTTAGACTTTTCAAAGCAGGGTTCCTTTTTCCTCTATTCAGAATTCCACTCCAAGAGGAATTATCAAGCTTGGGATTAATGTACTTTGAACAGGAGGCTCTAGAGAACTTTCTTTTCTTTAAAGGGCGATCATCTACAAAATTATCTTCAAATTATGGATCATAATAGATGAAGAACAAGCACTGAATTCCTTCAAAGGTGCAACAACACCATTACATTTGCATGGACCTTAAATGTCACTTTTATTACATTTATTCATTTAAAATGTCATTTCTCAAAATACTTCAGTCTATTGCTGCCTGGTAAAAGTACCCACCACTGCTTTCATACACACGTCTCCTCCCCAAATGCCCAGTCAATGTCACATTTTTCCCACACACCCTTTCCTCTATGTGCTTCCCTTATGTTTTCTTGATGCTTAATAGCACTGTTTTATACAAATACAGGGAGGCCTTAGCACAGGATAATGAGCTATGACTGTTTGGGCATTGAGGGGCCATGGAGGACCATGGGTTGCCTGCATGTGCCCTCGAGCACAACCATTCTTTTGATATTTTTTCTGCACACCCCTTCCAGCCATCTTTCAAAAAATTACTCTCTCCAAAACTTCGTTCCCCATTCTAAGCCCCCATCCATTTTGTTGTCGTTCATTGAGGCAGAGTTGAAGAGAGACAGAACTGCAGAAGGTCAAAAACAACAACCTTTTTATTCTCCCAGTATTTTAACTGTTAACTTGTTTTATTTAGTGAGTTTATATTTTAACATTGGATGCCGGGCAATTGTTATTCTTATTTCTACATTAGTTTTAAATGGCTGTAAACTGTCCCGAGACGTCTAAGTATGGGATGGTATAGAAAGGTGTTAAACAAAGAAAGAGAAAGGGGTGCAAACCGAGGGACTTCAGCAGTAGGTGGCTGTAGCAACTTGAGCCAGCCAAGAGTGCTGCTTAGTTGAGCAGGTTGCTTTGACATGTCCTGAATGAAAAACTTGCTACATGCATGTGTGCCTGACTCTGCAAAGGCAGCAGAAGGCAGGCAGGATGGGAACTGTGTTTGTTAACTTGGTGCTGCGCAGAGCTTGGACTGAGGGATTACTGAAGTTTCTGCCCATGGCATGTATGCTGGAGATAAGTCCCACTAACTTATTCAGTAATATACACACTCTGAAAATATACAGCAGCCTTTCCCAAGCTGGGTCCCTCCGGAAGTTTTCAACCACCACTGGATCCAGCCAGCATGGCCAATATTCAGGGATGATGGATGCTGTGGTCCAAAACATTTGGAGGGGCCCAGGCTGGGGATGCAGGCTGATGCAGGCTTTCCTGTAATTCCTTTCCTCCAGTATTTCAACAATTCTCATCCATCAATAATTTACATGTGATACCCTCAGGAAACAAGGCTCGGTCAGTAGTACTGCTTTGTAATTTGGAAACTATGGGTTGCATCCAATGTTAAGTCTACTTTCAGTAGACCTACCAAATGAATGGAACTTAGGCGAATTGCATGTTTATTTATTTCAGTGGGTCTCTAAGTAGAACTAACACTGGATACAACCCTATAGGCAGCTCCATAATGATACAGCAAACCTGCTTATTATGCATCTTCACTATTTAACCTACACACACAGCATGTAGTACATACACACATCTTCAATTACCGACATATATATGCCTCGGAACACTCACTGAGTTCACACAGATATTTCAAAAGCATGCTTATTTAAAAGCATGTTGCACATCCTTTGCTGTGCAAGTAAGAACTGAGTAAATGTAGCGATCAGGTTTGCAACATAAGTCGGAGAATTGCCTGAATGATTTGACTGAATTTAAGGGACAGAAGGAGGAGTAAGATTTTCTCATATTTTCATTGTATGGGGTTACACAGCTGTAGAGAGCCTCTCCAGAGAAGGATTAGTATGCGTAGTTATTATAGAAATAATATTGCTACCTCAGAAAAATCCCATATTGGTGTGAACTGAAAACTGAAGCAAAGGCTTTCATCTGAACCTAGAAAGGAAATTGCATCCCTTCCTTACTAGACTATCAAAAGGGTAGGAGAGAGAAGAAAAGCTGACACTGTAAGATGTACAAAGAGGCAAAAGTCAAAACAGTCTTTTAAACACTGAGGGGATCTCTTCACTTTTTAAATTTGCATTCTGGATGCTACTTTCTAGAGGTCATTTGTATACTTACTATCACCAAGTATCAGCTCAACTTCATCATCTGCATCTGAGTCCTCATCCTCTCCTTCATCACCCTCTTCAAGCAGATTGGCCAGTTCCTCATCGTCAGAAGGAGAGAAGTCATTTTCTCCATCTTCGCCTGCATTCTCGTTGTTCTCCTCTTCTTCCAAATCAGCCTCCAGCAGCTGGTCAGTGTCTAGTTCATCAAGGTCATCTGTGTCATCTTCATCCTCATCATCATCTTCTTCCTGCTCTTCCTCCTCCTGAAGCAATATTACAAAAGCTGTATTAGAAATAACAGACCCTGAATGGGTTGATGGGCAATGTATGGAAATAAAAGTGCTGTTTATTCACAATTTCAGTGTAATGCATTTTCAGATTAGCAGCTCTGAAGACAGTTCCTCTCCAAACAAGTAACACCACAAAAGGGCATATTGCAATACATTGTCATAGTTACTGGGCTGGAGCCAGGCTAAATTAGTTAAATGAAGGTTTGCTGAAGGCCACAGGACAAGCCAATTGTGAGTTAAGTCCCTTGAATTTCAACAGAGACGAAGTTCAACTAAGTCTGGATCCAGCCCACTACCACTGGCTCTGCTATTAATGGTTAGGCATCCCCAAAATCCTACATGAACCATTCAAAAAAAGCAGATGCCCATAATGTGGTCAAACAGCTTATCAGCAACTGACTTGGCTTACTGGCTTAATATAAAGCATTTCTCTAGTCAGTATCAACCTTGAACCAGTTAGCTCAATATTTTAAAGCTGTTTTTGTAACACAGCGAACCACAACACAGAATATGATCTTTAGCAAAGAATGCAATACACTTAAATGGGTTTTCAATCCCATGCAAGTGGAAGCAATAGAGATAGTTTAAGTCAGCGGTTCCCAACCTTTTCTATGCCCTGCAGCCCTAGAAAAGGTTTAATTTATGTTCACACCCCCTACACAAAAGTAATACCATGTTTGATGAAGATGTCAAATTTCTAATTTTTGAATTACAAATTGAACCACATACAGTACGGCGGGAGAACAAACTGAACTCAAAATATAAGCTTTTAACTCAGTGCATAAAATTCAAATATTGAGCAATTAGAAAAAAATTGCAAACAGTTAAAATCAATCCCAAGTTATAAAATTCAATAACTTCTTTATTCCTGCTTCTCTTGCATGATTTTGTCAAAATGTGAAACTTTCCTGCCGATTGCAATCCACAAGTCTGTCTGTGGATTCTGGTGATTCCTAGATTTTGTCTTAATTGACAAAAGAAAACTGGACCCAAATGCAAACAAAATAACAATATAGCATTTTGAGGGGGGTGATTTTTGCCAAAACATGTTGCAGTCTTCGTTGCACCTCCTGAAATGCCAACTTGCACCCCTTGGAGGAGAAGGTCTTCCAGGTCGGGAACCCCTGGTTTAGACTTTATGAATGGCAGTGTTATTACAGTGTGGATTTTGTGATCTCAATTACATCCAAATAAGGAAGGTAAGATTCACATAAACACTGATAGAGAACACTCATGCTTTCCCTTTCAAGTATGGATTTCCTATTGACAAGGAACCATAACAATCCATGTGTACACACACAGCTGAATTCTACACTTTGGTAAGATAATTTGCTAATAAAGTCAAGGGCATCCTATCTCACTGCCACTTCTTTTGAACAGCATAATCATTGCTTTTTTAGAATACCTATGAAGAAACAAACTGAAATGTTATTGCCCGCAGTTAATCACACTATGTGCTCTCAAAGCCTGCATAATGATGCACACACAATTGAAGCAATAGGTATCAAGCCCAATAACTGAATGGCATACGCTAAGCACAATTCAGTGAGCTAAACTTAGCTGTAAACCAAAATATTCTATTAGTCCTTTTTGATTTACTTACAACATGAAATCTCTTAAGTTTATGTCAAGTTTATGGTATATCCAGTTTACAAATCACTCATTAAAATGTTACTGGTCTGGATATTAATTTTCTGTATACAGTTTGTGGAAGATTAACTGGTTCAAATGTTCATGTGTGAACAGAAGAACACACTTGAGTTAAGGACTTCTCATTCATAGACACAGCAAGTCAGAAGGGGCTTCCCGGGCCATCTAGTCTGATCCCTGGCTCCAGCTCATGATATGCCTACCATGTGCATGTCTAGCCTATCCTTGAACACCGTCACAAATAGGGCCTCAACCACCTCCCGTGGAAGCCCATTCCATACCCTAGGGGTGCTAACCGTCAGGAAGTACTTCCTGGCATCCAAATTTGAACCTTGGTTCCTTGAGCTTTGCTCCACTGGAATGCATTCTGCCCTCCTCCAGAGGGGAAAATAGGTTTCTACCCACCCCTGCATGACACCCCCTCACGTATCTATATGTTGCCAACAGATCCACTTGGAGTCTCCTCTTCCCAGGCTGAAAAGACCTAGTTCCCTCAGTCTCACCTCATATGGCTTACCCTGCAATCCGGCCACCATCCTTGTGGCCCTACGCTACATTGATTCTAACCTAGCTATCTATATCCTTCCTGTAATGTGGAGCCCAGAACTGAACACAATACTCCAGTTGCGGGTGCATCAGAGTCATATAGAGTGGTAGTAATACCTCTCTCAATCTAGAAGCCACGCTTCTGGCTATGAAACCAATGGTGGCGTTCACCCTCTTGACCACTGTGTGCATTGGTCAAGTGCATTGGACAGTGCATTGGTCTATCCCAAAACTCCTCAATTTCTCAACTAGGATATCATGTGGCACTTTGTCAAAGGCCTTGTTGAAATCCAGGTAAACCACATCCACTGTATCCCCTCTGTCTAACCACCTCGAAACCTTGTCATAGATTTCCACAATATTTAGTAATATCCTGTCCTGAGCCTTCAAGATGGCAAGACTGAAGAAGTGCATGAGCGAAGAAACGTATGTGGGAAATTCATGTCTTCCTGGATTTTGCTTCTCTACAGCTGACCTTATACTGTGCAAAATGTTTTAGATCTTTATTTCCCAGGTAAGGGAAGAAGGACACCTATCTGGAAGAGAAACTGATGCCATAATTTCAGTTTCAGGTCACTTTAGACCAACATTCCTATGTTAAAAAGGAGTAACTTTGGCCAAAACAGCAACCAAGAGTATTCTGCAACTTAGCACACTTCCTAAAAGCTCAAATCATCATAAACATATATATATTATGCATACAAGTCAGCTAAAGAGCTTCTTTGCCCAACCATCTCTTTCAAACATCAAGTGTGCTTTCAGGAAAGGACAATTCCACTGAAAACCACAATCTCCTAAACATATTGATGGGCTAGGGGTGGAGTTGTTCTTATGTGCTGTTGGCTGATTTGTGGTGACCCTATGAATGAAAGCCCCCCAGAATGTCCTGTCCTTCACAGCCCTGCTCAGCTCTTCTAAATTCAAGAACTGATGACTGAGCCAAGGTATATAAAATCATTCACAATTTCGATTTCTTCATTGTTGACAGTAAAGTTCTATGATTCTTCTGTAGTCATTCCTTTGGTATTTTTAATGTTCAGCTGCAGTCTTGCTTTTCCCCTTTCTTCTTTCACTTTCATCAGGAGCTTTTTCAATTGATTGCTGCTTTCTGCCAGTAAAATGGTCTCATCTCATTTTCACTCCTTCCTCTGATCCTAATCTAGCATGCCTCATAGTATGTTCTGTGTACAGACTGAATAGATAGGGAGGCATAACACATCATTGTCTGACACCTTTGCCTTCAATTTCTTTTTGTTCAGCATGTGTTCTTGGCATATAGACTTGAATGATTGTTATGTTGAAAGGTTTTCCACCAATTCTGACTAATATTCAGTTGGATTGTGCATTGTAGCCCCTTATTGCCTGTGCTACAACTTGCCTTAGTATGAGAGCCACTCCCTTTCTTCTGAATTTGTCCTTTCTAGAGTAAAATACTTTGTCAGATTGAAAATGTCCCATTCCAGTTTGTTTTATACCCTCACCAAGTACTGAAATGCTTAGCTGTTCCATTTCCTGCTTTACAGTTTCCAGTTTGCCTTGATTCATACTTCCATGTTCCAATTGTATTGGACTTTCCTTTCTCCTCAGTGCTTGTCAGCCACAGGATTTTCTTTCAGCTTTGATCTAATTGTGGCATTAGTGACAACACTATTCCTACTTGTCCTCTTTCTTCCTCAGTAGTTCACTAAGTACCTTCTAACATGGGGGTCTCATCTTCTGGCACTATCTCGTTTCATTTTGAATTGTTTCATCATATGATTTTCAAGTTAAGAAAATAAAAAATTGGTTTACCATTCCCACCTTCTATGCAGGATGAACCAGAGTTAGTCTGGACATCTCTGCTGTTGTCTGTGGAAGATCCTCTGCCAGTGTTGCCTTCAGCTACTGTTGCTGCCCCACAGCTGCCCTTCAGAAGTTTCTCTGCCCTCATCACCATTACAGAGATCATTACTCTCCTGAAGAATGTGGCTGCATCTTAGTGTCTCAGTTTTGACCATTCTGCCTTGGGTGACCCTGCCACGTGGCCAGCCCAATGAGACCACCGGTCCTCCTGGCAGCATCACTCCCAGTTTTTCTCAAACTCCCTCACCACACTAAGGTATGCATCCAAGAGGGGGAGTAGTGGAGAAAATCTGGCAGCCCAAAACATCTTGGGTAGACAAGAATATCATAAGGAAATGTACTGGGTGGACTGATCAGTAACAGGCAAATTGATTGTTTGGTCTACTGGCACACAGGGATAACCGATTCCATTTGTAACTTTCCTTGAACCGATCTGGAACTTTCCTCAATGTTTGGCCACTAATTAACCACTCTTGATAGGATTGGCACACAATTCTCTATCTTTTTCAAGAGATCCTGATGTTCAAAACAAGCCCTTAGCAACTATTTAAAATAGAATACATACCATTCTATGGCAAAACAAGCAAACATTTTTTTCTTAAAAGAGCCAGGTACATTTTTATAAGGAATGACAACACCAATTTTTCGAGAGGCATGGCTCAACAGCTTGAAATAGGAACATTAAACTTGGGACTGTAGAGACATTCCAACATGTATAATGGTTCTGCAGAATTCCAAAAAAATGTCCATAGAACCCTGAGGTACAAATTTTGATATGGCATGGAAGGACTTAAATTATCCACTTTCATTCTATCATGGTATCTCATTTTATCCTAATTATAAAATAACTCTTTTCCCTGTCCATCAAGGTCTTACATTATACTTTAAAAACTGAAACCAGATCCCTTTTACTAGCTATTGGTTGCTGCAGACAAGCTGAACAGTTTTTCAGACAATGCGGCTCCTGTTCTAGCTATAAAAAATCTTCTCCACTCTTTAGTTGTAGAGTCTCGGGAGAGCATTGCATTTTCATATTCCCATGACACTCAATTTCTGACTTCAAAATCACTACACCCTAGCAACCCACACCTCCCCCCCCTCCCACCACCACCCACACACACACACACACACAAGCCTGGCTATTGGAGTGGAGTTTACAGACACAGATGGCTTAATTTCTCCTGATTAGAACGGTATCTTATATTGACCAGACCTACACAAATAATTGCTCTCTGGCAAGCAGAAGCTGCACAGCCAGTCTCCCAACCTTCAAGTGTGCCTGAGTCCATCAAGAACAAATATCATTTTCTTCTTTTAACTGACTCATGCACAGCATACTCCACTTTTAGGATTGATTTCAAAGGCAATTCACTTATCATGCAGGAGCAATGCCAGTTTTGCCACTGATTATACGACTTATAGGGAGTTACAGCTAAACCCCTGCAATGTGACACATGTATATGCAAACACCTGCTTGTAACATTCATACTTTACATATGTAGGAATATAAACAATCTCTTAGGATTGCATCTAATAAATGGAATATGACATTAAATAACCTCACTATGCAAACAATTCCAGCTCTGCTGAACATGTGTGCTTGTGTTACATGTGTCTATACATAATTATATACATAACACACTCATCTTCGCTCACCATTTCATGAACCTGATAAATATACAGTCGCTTATGAAATTCCATACTATATTTGTTAGCCAAAGATTCTTCTGTGAATTTCGCTGGAACAGATTATCACAGCTACTCTTCTATAACTTCTAATAAAGCTTTCCATGACTAGTGTTTCTGGATCACAGGATGGAATACAGTACTTGTCTGTAGTAATGTTTAGAAAATTATACCTAAGTCAGACCAAAGCTTTAAAGCCTTGAGATAAGGAAGAATCTTTTGATTCCATTTGACCCAACATATTGTATACTACTATGGATATACAAACCTGGATGCACCCCTGCCAAACGCCCCAATCCTCCTCTGGGACTGCTGTGAACCCGCAAAGCAGAGGTTCACAGATGTATTGAGACACCAGAATTTACTATTAGTGCCAAGCCCTGATATTGTATCATTGTCTATAGCCCCCTCTTAGGGCATCCCAACCATCCCTTATTTGCATAAGAGTGTGTGCATTCATGTACACACCCAGGCGCACACACAATATTCCCTTAAACTAAAAAATGTGTTTTTACTCAATCTAATCTACAAGAAATTAATTCTCTCTCCTCTAAAATGTGCCACTTTTTGCTTAATAGCTTATCTCAGTTTTAAGTGCTGCTTACCAAATGATTATCTGTTCCCTCTATACAAATCAAAAAGCATTCTTGACATATCCCTTCTTGCATATTTCCATTCCAAACCGATTCCTAATCTGTTGTCCCACCTCAAGTTTGTTTGCGTCTTTCATAGTATATAGAGACTCTAGGCAAAAAATTCTCTGTAGCAGAGTTTATTTTTACCTTCAGGGTTCATTCTCCAGAGGGTTCATCATCCGGGGTATGATACAGAACTGACTGAACATATTAGCACACAGAAGGCAAGATTCTTACCATAGGCTTCTATGTAGACCCAGAAGACATGGACAGATGGAATACACGTAACACAGCAAACAATTTGTCATAGATGTCAAATTGGAGTGAAGAGATAAAACACAGTTATTCCCATTCTAAAGCTTTAAGCCAGCTAAAATAGCAATTATTTATTATCTACAGTGGCTACATAGGTTTCAGCACCATCTCCAAATTAGTTTTTACATGTACTTTGATTGGGTTCTATATGTAACAAGAGTTTACCTTTGTTCTGCACAACAGATTTAGGGAGCTGCCACAGCTCAGGCACAGAGCACCTGCTTGGAATGCAGAGGGTCCTGGATTTAACTCCCTGCCATCTGCAGTGAAAAGGGAATCCAGACAGCAGTGGATCAAGACCTCTTTCTGCCTGACATGCCTGAGAGCTGCTGCCAGGTAATAGTGGGCTAGATGGACAAAGAGGCTGACCTGCTGCAATGCTGCTTCCTGTCTTCCTAGTTAAGGCAACGTGTGCTTCCAGTCCCAGATTTTATTGCAAAATAAAAAGTTATGGATAGCGCTAACAATAACTAAATTAGTAATAAATCAGTTAATGGGAACTGATGCATTCAGCAGAATGAATAATTTACTGAAGTTTTGATACAGAGTAAAACTGGACAATTTTAAATCTCACAATAGCTAATTGCATGTATTGAGTAAACAAAGTATGCTTCAAAGATGTAGTCCTTAAATATTCTGGCTTCAGTCTTAATTGTAAATTGCTAGTCTGATCACTGTAACTGGTTACTAGAAGCTAAGTCTCTGGCACCCAGTTAAACATGACTCATATATAAAACCAAAGCTATGCACATTCAAACACTTAATTCAGAGGTGTTGCACAGATTTCTTTTCAGGAAGGATCAAGCCCAAGACTTCAAAAAAAGGGTAACAAGCTGTTCATGTCCATAAAGAAGCAGTCCAGTGTATAAAATGGCTAACAAAAGCTCATTGTGGAACACCTAACACAATCTATCAGCTGTCGCTATGCTAACCACCTGAGTGAAACAAAACAGCCTTGAATGACTGTGCATTGAAAAGCAGCATGGGCTATAAGAGCTCGTCACAAGTGAGTAAATAATTTGCTCACAATTACTACCCAATCTTTGTCCTTAAAGGCAACAGATTCAGCTGCAGCCATCCTCAAATGCTTTCATTCTCAAGTAATTTGGCTCTCTCTGCCTGGCTTTGGATGAGCTTTTTTCCCCATCCTTATACATGAAGCCAGTGTAACCATCAAATTCACAACAAAATGTAGAGCCAGTCAACATCCTTTATAGACCCTCATGCTATTTTGGTGAAGGCAGTAGGGGGCTGGGAAACACCAGCAAGTTATTGGCTTTTCCACAATCATTAGTCAAGGGAAGCCTTGAAAAGGAATATACCATGCTGCACAAGAAGGACTTATCACAACAGTGGGATAAACTCCATCACACATGCACATCCCCATCACACCTTTCTGCCTGTAAGCCTATTGTGTATGTTGACTAAGGGTGACGGGTATCAGGAGCTGCAACTATGCAAGGTTACAACTGCATAACCTACTGTCTTTTTCCAGTATGGTGGCAATAACACATGCAGGGCTTCTTCTGAGTAGTAGCTGGATACTAGTTCTCAGCTCTGGGACATACGAAATACTGAGAGTGTCCTTGAACACAGACTGCTCTGCCAGAACCAATAAGTAACCAGCCAGAAGGTCTTCCAAGCAGAAAATACTGCTTCCACTTGTGCATGGGCCCCTGATACAGCCCTATCCAAGGCCCTCTTCCCTATATACCTCTCCATAAATAAAGTATGTCCAGCTGCCAGACTATGTATCAGCAGCTTGGCTGGACTGAAAAACTAAGCAAACTTTTGCTAGCAGGAACACTATTCTTTTTTCCCCACAACCAAGGGAGTCAATTTAACCATAGCAGCCAGGCCTATCGAAGGGGAAAACCAAGGGTGCTTCAGGACAGATGCCTTTTTAGATAATAAAAGCACTGATCCCCATTTCTGACCCTTATTAGTCCAAAAGGCAAACCAAGACTAGCAAGATTGATACACATGGCAGAATTCAAAACTATGGAGGGAGGGAGACACCTTACAATGCCTATAGTTCCTGGTTTGCAACAACTCCTTTCTTGAAATTCGCTTTAGCTCTAGAGACAAACCATCCTGAGGCAACATGCCATCTTGGAACAACCTAAAAATGATGGGCAATAGGAGAAAGCAATTCTGCTAGTGAACAACAAGAACAGCAGCTACAAAGCTCTCAGACAACTGCTCACATTTTAGCCTCCAGACACTCAGATGAGGATTCTGAAGAACTTACAGAGCAACAGTGGAGATCTACCAGAGCATGTGGGGGCTGAAATTTAACTCCTCCTAGTAAAAACGTAAAAAGAAGGAACCCTGAGTGGAAGGATTCAGCCCACTTCTCCTCCTATAATACAGCCTTCAAAGGTAATGTGAGATCCTGATTCAGAAGTGGAGGGTAAAGATTGGAATTCAGAGCTGAAATGCTCAGGCCAATTAACCCCGAGATAAGTCTGCCAGTTGCTGAGATCCAGATAGTTTCACGCTCTCTGGGGAATTCTAGTGAACCAACCTGGTTGGGTGGGGGCACATTTGAGGTCACGAAAGAGGTAAAATAGAATCAGGTTAAGATGGCAGACTAACTTAGAAGTGCTAGACATTCCTGGCTACTGGCCCATAAACAGCAGAATCCACCCTGAAGATGCAGTCAGCTCTTTTTGGTTTGGAAGGAAGGAGAGGTATTCTGTTTGGAATCAGCTTAATATCATTAAGCTGCATTTCTCTAAGGGACAGTATTCCAACTTGGCGAGTGTGTTTTGTTATTGATTTCTGCAATACTTTTTTTTTGATAACAAAAAACTATCCTAGTTGATCAGATTTAATGTAAAGGAAGGAAGACTTTTCATTCAAAAGTCTTTGTCCTGATCTGTTTGAAAGGATGGGGAGAAGACAGGCCCACAAGACCAAGATGCAATCCCATACAAGTTGAAATGGAAAGAAGTCCTATAACTCCCATCATGCCCCAGTCAGTTCCTTAAATTCAATGTTGTATTTAAGGAACAAAATGCTATTGTGTCCTGTTTTCATTTTTTACACTACCTTCCAGCAATCCAAACTCCTTGTGAAAGCTGGAGGCTTCTATACAGATCAACAGATGAAAGCTCTCCTCCCCATTCCAGGGCCAACCAATTATTTCATCCGGAAATTCTTTCCAGCAAGTCCTTTTGCAGAAGGCACAGGTAGGGGTATGACGATTACTGTGGAGAAATGAGCAAGTGCCACCTCCAGCCCCCAGCCTTAGATCAGGTCTCATTGTTCAATTTCTTGTGAACATTGTATGGGGAACCTGTGGGCCTAAATATTGTTGAATCCCACCTCCATCAACCAAGCCAGTGGCAAAGTATGGTGGAACTTGGTGTCCATCATCATCTGAATGGAGAGAGGCTGCCCACCTCAAAGACTATTTGCTTGTTCCTCAAATAAACTAGAAAACCAAAGAACTGAATGTGCTAGAGAAAGAAGCCGGCCAGCTGGGGAAGAATCAGCTTCATGACACACCGAACAGGCAAATACTAGGTCTCTCCTGATGGGTTTATAACACAATGATATAAATGATATACCTAAATGAATGAATGTGGTGATAAGCAAAGAAACTTTTGTTTTTGTTTTACACGGGGACACGCTGTCCAAGGGGAAATGTTTCATGCTAACTAATCTAAAAGTCTCATTTGAAAACCAAAACAGCAATTCTATTCTGAGTTCAGCAAAAAGATAAGTTTAAATAAGCCATGTTCTTCTGAAGATTCTTTTGCTATGACAACAACCTTGACTTTGTTTCTACTGTAAATACTTGGTGGTATTTCTACCCTGAAATAAGCAAGCAAAAACAATTCTAGTATCAAACTTACAGTAACTAGACAGTAAGGTGCAGATAATTTGCTAGAAAACCTAGCACTAAAATGTACTAAAAGCTTCCAAAAAAGCTGAATACAGACATGCAGCTGGCATCTAGGCAGATTCAGCATCCCTCAGCAATTATTTCCAATTATCCTAAAATTAACAAAAGTAGTAGTCTGTCACTGAAGCAATGGGCTAAGCAGGGGTGAGCATAGAAGGAAATGGCAGACTCTCTTTGTTCTTTCCCATGATAAGCAATGACCAATTTCATAACCAAATCTACCCATTTCACACCTCACTAATGGAAATAAAGAAACTGGACAGATGCCATGGAAATCTGTTAAACAGATAATCAAGTTTTGTCTTTTTTCTCTTTCACATTCTGAGTAAAGTTATCAGTTTGGCTATCTAATGTAGATATGCCATGACTGATGGATTTAATCACACATCCTCATAACTGAATGACTAAGAGGGAAAAATACCACTACTGCTAGCTTGTCAACAAAGAACTCAAAATAGTTGTTCGGTGTGCTATCTGTTAAAACAAACTGAAAACATACATGCAGTTGATGTGATAAAGACTTAAGAGCAGTTTTCAGAATGTTTGCTAAAAGGAAACATTACAGCTCACAAATGAAGCAGTAACAATCAAAGAGACATTAAGCCACTCACCTGGTCTTCCTCCTCATCTTCCTCATCTTCTGCCAGACGCTGCCTGCCCACCTCATACAGCCTGCACACAGTATCCATGTTCATGGCATCCATGCTTCCTTGATTCTAAACCAGGAACCACACACCCAACACAGTGAGTGAGCTTACTGCCAAACATGTTACGCAGCAGTACCGATCATTTCCACCCCACTGTTATTACAAACAAAATTTACCTCAATAACAGCTAAGTAACAGTCCTTCGTATCTGTACAAAGGTCAAAAATGTTTCTTTTTACATCAATGGTAGCTGAAAAAACACACAACAAAATCAAAGTAAGTCTGCATGCTTTAATTCAGAGGCAACCTCGAGGCTTCTAAATTTATTTCTAGCTTTCCTCCTTTCTTTCTTTTTCTTTTTTCATCTAGAATCTTGAGGTTCGTCTACTGGGACCAGGGCAGTGGTGCCTTCAGGCTCTTTGGAGCAGCCCTTTCTTTTTTCTGCTGTTTACAAACAAACCCTTTTTGGCAATGCTCAACCCAAATTGAGATCTGAAAGTAAGATCTGTGGGTATATCCCTAGAAAATGAGGGGATATACCCTAATTTTCAGCAGAAGGAAACAACTTTCTTTTGCCCAACATAATTGCAAATAAATGCAACCACAATATTTACCAATTGGTTTGTAGTCTGTTGCATTGAAAGTCCTAAAAGATGACCCAAAGGGGCTTCTCATCCTCTCCTCCAACAGATCATCTTCATCATCAGCTTGTAACATAGCTGATTGAGGGAGAAAAGGGTTATAAGGAAAGAGCTGCTTATCATCTAAAACAGTTTTTAGGGAATATAGTTAAAGACCACTTGTAACACTGAAATTTAAAAATGTTTAAATGTTGCAGAATACTTTTTGGACACACATTTAGAGTAAAATAAACAGGGAACCATATTCAGAAAACAAAAAGAGTTTTACAATCATGAACATTTTTTTGAAGAATTTGAGTTACCTGTTGGATTAGGTGTGAAGTATAAATGCATTATGCACTCAGAATGATACTGAATAGAACAGGGAGGATGGATTGTCAGAAAAGGTTGGTAGGGGTGGGGAAGAAAAATGAGAGAACGAATAAGGTTAAAACAGTATTTTAGAAGAAGGAAAATGACATTAGGATGATAACAGGAGGCACAAGGATACAGAAAATGGAGCAACCAAACAGAATGTGGGGGCATATCCCACAGGAGCCAGCCAGCTAGCTATCCTTCCCCTGCTTCTGCACTGTGGCAGAGGATGACCAACCAACCATCTGCCGAGATCCAGTCCATTTTTTTGAACTCTGTGCCAGGATTTTGCATATCCTTCTGGTATCCAGCCTGCAACTGACCCAACAGCCTTTTATTCTTAGCATTATAAGATGTCCCCTTGAAAGTATTGGAAATATATGTTTTTGCTGCTTTGTTCTATGTTATAAGCACAGGAGAAAGAAAAGCTATGGCAAAACTGCCATCACCACGCAACTAAATGAAGAAACTGACATCTTGTTAAGAGCCAGCTTACCTCCATACATGACTGTCCCTGTGTGGTTGAAGACTACACGGCACTGATCCAAGGCTGGTACAGTATGTAGCAAGTGGAAAGTCCGCAGGTCCCACTGCAGAATGCATTAAGGAAGACTCCACACAAACATCTACTACTACATTGATTACAACAGCAAGCAGCTCATTAGTGATATCAAATACTACCAAATACTATCAAATAGTATTTGGTAGATGTTGGGGGAAAAAAAAAAGCCGAGACAAAGCTTTCAACACTGATTCAGCAATTACAGCCAAGATCAAGGGGGACTCCCCAAGGTCCAGAAAATGTCTCTAACCCAGAGTGGGAAGAGCAACCTGGTTGCTGACTTTAATCAGGGGATTGAAGGCTGCCCCCCACATCCTGCTTCCCGGGAGTAACACTGAGTCAAGGAGGAAGGCAAACTGGCAGTCAGCCAGAGGAGGAGCACTTGCAGAGAGCTTTCTACTTTCTCCTGGAGAGAACACTCAGTCCCTGCTAACTGCTGCACCCTGAGCCTGAGACTGCAAAAGGAAGGGAAAAGGGTGCTCTGGCCCCATCCGTAGGCCAAAGGAACAAGAGCCAGCAATTGCTACTCAAGCAGGAACACCAATAAGGGAAGATCAGCCTGGCCCAAAGTGAACTAAATGCCCACTTTTAGAGCACCACATTGTTCTGCCCTTGAAAAACTGATCTCCCTCCTCTTTCTTTCTCTCCAAGACAAATGCTTAGGCCAGATACAAGATTTTGAGGTATGCAGGCTTTTCCCAGTTAGGAATGCCCTGCATACATTGAGACAGAGCTGTCTGTGGCCCCATCACTTCTCAAAAAAGAACTCCATTGGCTTGCCCATCCTGTCTCCTTCACATCATAAACTAATGACTCATCACCCCAAGAACTCTAAGATGTTCAAAGTAAGTAACAGTTAAGACAAAAAGGATACAATTTCTGTGTTAACTATGACTTCCAGCCCATTTGGATGAAAAACGCCACTGATCGTCATATTGAATTTATCAAACTTATGTATAGCCTGTGCCGAGCGGACATCCCAAAGGACACCATCATTTAAGACAAGATCATCGGTGGGGTTGAAGGTGGCACAATTCTTCTTGTAGTTGTTTGCAAGATCTGGGTTAAATAGAGTCAATAGCTTGTTGCCAGTCTGAATATCATAGATCTTTTAGATTTAAAAAGAAAAAGAAAAGAAATTAGTCAAAATCTGAAGGATACGCACAGTCATTTCCTAATCATTTGCTGTGGATAGCCATCTTCCCTTGTTTCTTCAAATAGGTTTTACTAGTTTATGTTCAACCTTCCTGGGAACTCTCAGTCTATCCATTCTATATTATGACAGAGCCCAGAAATCTTTACACACATTACTATGGCAGAGAAACACCAAATATTCATTATGAACTGCACCATTAGTTACCCATTCAATAATTTTCCCATAAGGTTAAGAGATAGCTAAATTTAATTTTTGTTATAAACAAATAGGTAGACCATTTACCTTGTTACCTGCTTCCCTTTTATAAACACTATAATTTGGATGTTGTTTTAAATAGTTCTAACATGGGGTTCCTCTTCCTAAATGCTTACAATTCAAGAAAAGCAAATATCAAGAATCTCACAAGTTCAAAATACTCCCTTCCTTTTCTAACAGTTCAATTAAACCACTTTCATTGTAGCTCTCCTAATCCCTCCTCTAAACTTACACAATCTTCAAGAAGAGCTTCAGCATAACAATGTGCATTATCCAATGTCCATTATCCACAGCTATCCACTGCTAAATGAACAGCTATAGTAAGTTTGATAACACTTAGGTTGCAAAACTTGTTGGATAAAGGCCATGCTGCTTCTAGCGGATCAGTAGAAAAACATTTACTAAGACATAAGTTTTCATGGACAAGAGTCCTCTTCATTATATAAACTGAAATCCATGAAAGTGTATGTCATAATATATGCATTAGTCATTATGATGCTACAAGACTCACAGTTCATATTGTTTCTATGCTGCATATAGCATTTAGCATGCAGCTTAGCCTGAACAGGAATAGACCTGTACAGTCTGCTTCTATGAAGGAATGTTTCTTGTGAACCTTTTGAACTTTAAACAAGTGGCCAAGAAGAATGCTTTCGTATGTGATGTTTGTGAAAACTGAACACTCTTGACATGCAATTTAGGCTCGCCAAACTGGGCAAGTAGTCAGGCTTCAAGAGGAGTGGAACATGAGGAACACATGGACTGTTCCTTGTTTCTCATTAAGTCTTTCCTTTAATTGCCAGAGAACATCCCACAGTTTCACAGACTGGCCAAGGGGCTGTGCTGAAAAATATGCTGGGATGTCTCCATTCATGGCCTGTTACAGAAAATGGCTCCAACTTGGATTGGGGATAGTGGGTTATTTTAATACAGAAGCTACCTCAAAAGGGTTTTGTGCAGTGAAGAATGCTGCACAAAATAAAAAATAAAAAGTATGCTAAAAGACACGGATGAAAGTAGTTCTTTATAAAGATACTTAACTAGGAAGTAGGCCAGCTATTTGCATACGCTGAGCATTTGGCTTTGTTTCTTTTATGCTTTTCTCAGATACATTTTGTTTATGGATTCTCTGCAATACTAATATTTCTTTGCTAAAGTGAAGAATAAATGCTTTTAGCCTGATGCCTCACAAATTAGTAGAGGAGTGGAGATTAGTTTTCTCTCAAAGGCTAACAGAAGGAACAGCAAAGCAACACAGAAAAATAATTTGTTTAAATGCAAATACATAGGGAAATCAACAAAAAGGCAAGGGACATTACAACTTTCAGATTATTTCTCATTCTTCATTATTTTATACTAGTGAAACAAAAAAAAAACCTCTCCTAAAATTACTGGGTGGGATCCAGAGCATTTTTTCAGTGAACGGAAAGCGTTCTTTGATTTGTTGAAGGGCCTAGCTCAAGCAGAAGCCCCCAATGGAGAAAAGAAGTATGTAGTTTTAATTTATACTCCTTTTTCCTGCAGCCCACACCCCTGCCAAGCCGCCTTTCCATGCACTCCTGGAAGCTCACCCCAACTCTCCAGAGCAGCTTTTTAATGGGCACAAGGGAATGCAGGGAGAAAGGGATTCCTTCTCCTCCTATCTTTTCTTCAGTGGGAAGGTTCCAAGAGTGGAATTCCTCTCACAGGAATTCCAGATCCAAGCCATACATTAATTTACACTTATCCTGAAATAAATTTGACCACAAACAAAGTCCTATAGATTTTATCTTTAAAATATCTAATGGTCTCTTCTGCAATAAATAGTAACGAGTTTAACGATCTGTATCAAAAAGAATAGGATTTTTAAATAAAGGACTTCTCAGGTGAATATATTTTCAAAACTTTTCAAAACTTTTCCCTCATGAGGAATCAAGACACTAAAGAAGCTCAAAGGAAGAGTAATGTGTTTTACCATCTGACATTAATGAACCAGTTGTTAAAAGGCCATATGATAAAGTTGCTCCATCATGTGATCCTTTAAAATAGCGTCAACCCTGTGTCTCACTATTACATTTAAGCTCATTTCTATATGACTTCCAAGCACTGCCAAGAGGCCAGTCAGTTCTTCTCAACACATTTGTCAATTACACACCATTTCTCTTTCTGTTGTCTAACACTGTCCTGTTATTGGTAACAGTTCAACATTTCCATCCACTGAACTCCTGCAGTGCTAGCCCCATCCTGTTTTAACTGCTTTTCCCAGACTGGGAAATGTTCCTACTGGCTGGGGATGATGAGAGTTGTAGTCCAACACATCTGGATAGGGGGAAGCTGCTCTCCACAATGTTGTGATTTATAATAAAGCCATAGTACCAGTTTGTGTGTTCCCATAAGTCACGGTACCAGTTTGTGTGTTCAGCATACCCACATCAAGAATCCTGCACTGGCTTCCACAATTCCACAAGCAAAACTTACATGAGCAATGTCCCCCTTCGTGCCAATGACTCTGTCCTGCGAATGCTTGCTGAACTCCACATAATGGTCATCTGTGAAGGAATGCCTGCGTGAGAGAATCAACCCTCAATAAGCAGCAAAACATTAATCAAACACTTCTCAATAATAATTTCTGTGCACCTTTATGTAGCATCATTTAATGTGTTGCATCGGATCAAGCAGTACAAAATACTAATTCCTAAGCTAACAGTAAGAGGTAGCCACTGCCCTGCTACTATAAATACTCTGCAATCTCCACCTCTCAGGTGATCTTCACTTAGCAGCTCATTATGCACTTGAATATATTAGTATAATGAATTTAATGTTTCTATAATCTTATGGACTTGAATGGATTAAAGATGGATCCTTTAATGACTGATTCATTTATAGTGGGAAAAAACAGCATAGATACGTACTTGGTTTCAAAGACAGACTTCATTCCCCACAATGCAGAGAGGGGCTGGCTCCATGAAGCAGATGTCAGCAACAGAGAACCGTCCTATGGTTTAGCGGGAGAGAACAGAAAGAAGAAAAAAAGTGCTGTTATACATACGGATACAATTCTTTGTATATTGACGATAATAGAACTCACTGACCAGGTTTCAGCATGATGGTTAAACCACATGGATTATGGTTAAACCCATGCATTGCTCATACTAGGGTTAAACAAAAACCCTCTCATAATCCTAAAACAGACCATGGATTTGTGAGGGTTGCTTACTTACCAAGTTAGCAAAATGTGACAACCCCCAAGCATGGACTGCACATTCAAAATTGTGTTTATTGGCTGCATATACTCCACACATGCTGCAGCCACACCAGGGGTTAAACAACCCACATTTGTGCAGCCCACATTAGGAAGTCCATGTGACCAATAAAATATGCTAAAAGAAAGGTGGCAAGCCAGTGATGGCCACTCCAAAGTGCTGCTTGGTCATTAGTCGAGCAACTGCCACTGGCTTTGGTAAAGGTGAAATCATGATGAGCAGCATGACTTTTTGCCACTTCTGCTTAGCAGCTTGTTAACAGATCCCTGCAAGCCATGAGGAAATGGTTTGGATATTCAACAACCCATCATGGATCAAACAGCCCTTGGAACAAGTCATGGGTTGTCATGGTGGCCTGATCACGAAAAATAAGTCATTTTGCAGGATGTGCTCTGGATTCGGATTATACAGCAAGCCATCCACAGCTACCTGTTGTGTTACAGAATTGGGTCATTCTGTAATTTTGCTCTGGGAAGACAGAAAACTATCAGCACAACTAAATGTTTCCCAGCACAAGTAACAATTGTGATAGCTAACAATACTGCCAGTCTAAGGGCATTATGATCATTGTCATCACAAAAGTAAATCCAGCTACCATGTGACTGGTTGACTGGATCAAGGGGCTATCAGTTGTCCTGCGCAAAGCTTCACTAGCATGCACACTGGTCTGAGAATGGAGCTTTTCGCATGATCAACTTAGAATCTGTGGGTTGGCCGACAGTTGAAGTTCTAAGATGCTTGACATCTGATGATGGAGCATGTTAACAGAACAGACCCCAAGTCTTGTAAACAAGCATCGATCCTCACACAGTGATCCCTCAAACATACTATACCAGCTTTCCCTAATCTGGTATTGTCCAGAAATATTTGACTACAATTCCCATCAACCCAAACCAGCATAGATATGCTGGTTGAGGATTAAGAGAGCTGGGGAGGGCTACACAATACTTTCATGTTACTCACAGATACCTATACTGGAAGTTTGGAGACTTATGACTGATTAGAATGCAATCACTAAAAATGACCCTTATACCAATACATTCATACCACAACGTTCAACCTAAGACTGGTCTGTACAACTACTCCATTTGATCGAATGGTTAAATATGTCTAGGTGAAAAAGTGACATTATAATATGTCTGGTTTATATGCAAGACTGGATACAAAAGAGATCAGGTTGCTTTGTTCTAGTACTGAGTTTGCCATTATTCCTGGGTAAACGCTGCTTCCTGCCTCCTCCAGATCTTGACTAAGTTCCTGATCATGCACAAAGATCAGAAGCCACTTAACACTCTTGCTGCTTTCCTTACCCTGGATGGCTCAAGGTGGGTGATGGCAGAGTTGTGGCACTTATAGCTGGCCTCTTCCTGCCCACTAAAGACATTGTAGAGTTTCAGGTGCCCTGTGCATGTGCCGAGCATCAGAAATCGTTCCCGTGCAGAGAATGCACAACACGTAAAACCACTTTCATCCTCATTGGCTTCCCGGAACACAGAAATTGGACGGAACCTGGAAATGAAAGGGTGATGCAGTAAGAACAGAAGCTTTAAAGCAATGGAAAAGAAAGTAACATTAGCAGTGATTAAACATCGCTGATGGCCAAAAACTGTGTTTGACAGCTTGCTAGGATGGAAGTCATGGCCTCTGCTTTCCTCTTAAGAGAAAACAACTTTCCCTTGAGGAGGAAGGAGCAGCAGGTAATTGTCAAATGAAAAAAGTAAGGCAGCATTTGGGTCTTCCCAGTAATCATTGTGACTTCGTGAATGTTGTGCAAGCTGCAGCCTGGAAGCAGAGTCCCATTTTAGATGGTTTGGTCAGAATAACCATAGGAATTCAGAAAAACATCTTTCTTACCTGCTGAATATAAGGTGTCTATCAAAACATCCACCATCCACCCCGCCATACTTTGGAAAGGCTGCCCTGCGGGTCAGCCGCGAGGTAAAGTTAGTTGGCGCTTGGCGCCTCTGTTTTGGCTCAGGACACTGGTGGGGTGTAAAAAGAGAGAAGGGGGGACATGTGGCCACAGGGTTCTTGCAGCGCGCATGCTGCTCCCTAAGGTACTCTGTGATTATGCTGTCCAGCGTGGGAGGGGAAGGGAGGTGCCTGTCCAGCTGTTTTTTGATCGCTGGGCTCTGGCTGTAGGCGCCATGGTCTGACTTTTGCCGAAGCACTCTGATTTTCCTGCCGTTGCAGGGAGATGGCCTCTCTCGGACGAAGCTGATCCTGCCAATCACAGGAGAGTTGGTGGCGTGAGATGGGCCCGGGAGTGCCAGCAAGCCCTGGCAAGCAGTTGGTCTTGGCTGGGCATGGACAGAGGGAGGGCCAGAACCTACAGAGGGATGAGTAGCCAATCGGGCTGAAATGCCATTTGCTATACGAGGGGTACGAGGCAGAGACACAGGCGAGGCAGCGGCCGGAACAGGGGTGAAGGCAGAGGAGTGAGAAGCTGCTGTCATGGGTAAATCTGCCTCCTTCGTAAGGATGGTCGCAGTTTCTCCTAGCCCTTTAGAGATGAGATGGTTCCTGATCAAGAGCAGCAGCTCCTTCTCAGGGAACGAAATCCTTGACTGAGCTACCACATCTGCCTTCTGCAGTCGAGCCAGGGAGACATCCGTCCCGATCAGCAAGGGCTTTCCCGAGACACGCTCTATCAGCTCAGCCGCATACTTGCAGAACTTCACATGCTCGCTGCGCTTATCCTGGAGCACAGGCTCCTTCATCAGCTGCTGAATCTGGCAGCTGCTGAAGAGGGGCAATTTGCTGATGATCTGCCGGACTGTACTGCTTCGCGACAACCCAACCAAGGCTTTGCATGCCAGTGCTCGGATCTGGTCTGCATCCGTAATGGGCATTTTGACGGACAGCAAAGATAACAACACTTTGATGCCATTGTTGGACTGCACCACATTCCACATCTTTGCCAAAGTATGCTCGCTGCTCCTGGGAGCCTGGGGGAGCGTCCGTCGAGGGGTGCCAGAGATGAATTTGCCAATGCTGGAGATGCGATTGTCTGGGCCACACACACAGTTTATGATTATCTGAAGGGCTGATTTCTGGATCTCTGCATCATGAATAAAATATTCTCCCTCAGCAAGTCCCAGGATGATACTGATACCTAAAAGGAAGTATTTTCACTGAGTCATTAGTCTAGCAAAGCATGACACAGATTAGTGTGAGAGACAGGTAGGGTCAGTTTCCACACTGCAGGAGTAGAATATTTATTGCTGGCCTGTAGTTCCACCCCACACTGGGCTGATACAGAATGATAAACACAATATACAACACACCAACAATGTGATTATTTTTCCTTCCAGCACTGTACATGCACACACCAACTAGAGGGTTGAAAGCCTCCACATATGATCTCCCTCATTTTAATGTTACCAAGGTGGTGTGCAGTGAAGGCATGGGAAAGCAGCAACTGCTGTATTACAATAATGGAAGTACTGGCCCACAGAGCAACCAAAAAGAATACTGTCAGACCGTTATGCATGAACACAGATCATGAGCAAGACAGGTTTTGATAAAAACAATATGCCACAGATTACCCAACAATAACTTGGTCAGTCATTGCCCTGCATCTCAGTCATGCAGAATTTATGAAGCCTAACACCTACTCTAGATTTCGGCTGGTAGAGAAGTGATTCATAAAGGAAGGCTGCAAGCAAATGGGAAGGCCAGGATCTACATACCCACAATGGAAATAGATGTTCCTCCCTCATCCACTGTATCCACTGCCTCTGCTAGCTGTAGTTGGATTTTTGGAACCACAGTAAGGATGGCCAGAACATCCAGGGCATAACGCACTGTGTCATTTCTAGTAAACAAAAGCAAACAGAAACACTTTAATTCAAACATTAGTTTCACAAACCACACCAGCAGTCTTCTCAGGCAAGGAGAGTGCTGTGTCTGTGTGTGTGCGCACTTGCACAAACATGCATATGTGACCACCTGGCATAATGGTCAGCACCAGGAAAGCAGCAATTTATAAGGTTATGTGCAACTCTATCATTCTCTCACCTAGCATAGTAGGTCTTCCAGTTGCATGCTATTGAAATGAGCTGGAGCATCAGCTGCACGCAAGATAGCTTGAGAAAGACCTCTGCTGGATCCCAATACAGCTGCCCTGGCCCATATTCTATTAGGAACTCCATCATCTCTACAATCTGTTCATGTGTATAGGAACAAGCCTGCAAAGAAAATGATGTATTTTCATTCTTAGTTTTTCATTCTTAACTAGATTTTTCATTGTGTGTTGTTTTATTAAATCTATGCTGTCCTTTTACAAAGGAACTGAAACCAGTGCACAAAAGCTCAACATAGATACTAAAGTCACAAATAAGCAATAGCACATTAAAACACCACCAATAACCTAAAGGTAATCAGTTTGTGGCCCTCCAGATGTTTTGGCCTACAACTTCCATCACCCTCAGTATATGATTTAAAATATTTCTGGGCTGCTTTTCAGGGCAGGAGCCCTCCCAAGACAGCCCTTAACCATAATATTCATTATAATAAAAACGGTTTCAGTAATAGAACAATAAACATCCATAAAAACAATGAACACCAGCACAAAAGTTTTGCCTAAACAGTACAGAAAGTCTACAATATAACTGCAGCTGCAATTCAGAAGAGTCTGGCAAAATGTTATCAGGAAAAGACCGAGTAAGAGCAAGTCTTTAGGGCCACCTTAAAAATTGACCTCCTGACAGCAACACTTGCCAGAGCTGTGGGGTCTTTGTGGAAAAGACTTCCTCACTTGGTTATACTGGCAATGGCTGATGGGACTTCTAGGTCATAATGTCCAAAGGACCATAAGCTCCCCATCCTTGACCTTAACTATAATCATGAAATTCATACCAAAATGCCTCAAGGAGTTAACCCAGTAGCAGGTTAGTGCAATATTAAGGCTTATGAACAGCAAGCAGAATTGCAGAAAACCCCATTCAGTAGACTCTATCGTCTTTTTATCTCAAAGCTCTCATAGGAGACAGCAGTGCTGAAGATACATTTGGCCTACATGTGGAACTTTAGGACTGATAACCATCTGTTTAAATATTTGTAATTATAGCCATCCTAGCTTTCTGACATAGATAGAGAGATAGCACAAAGTGGCTAACAATAAAACTCCATAAAACTTTAATTCAAACATAGCACAAAAGGGCTAACATTAATACTATAAAATCAAATATAGAAAAGCATAAAAATAATAGATTAAAAGTCAAAGTTAAGCTTAAAAACAAACATAAATGCCACTTAAAATTAACCTAAATACCAATGGCTAAGCCAGTGAACAAATTGCTGGAAGGGAAGGGGGGCACACAAAACTATCTCATGAAAGAGATTTCACAACTGGAACTGAGCCAAGGAGCAAACTGAAAGGAAGTAAAGAGGAGTAGACATTGGCCAATAGTATCTTCCCAGCTCCAGCTCCAGAAGGAGCAACTTGAGGAAGGACTTAATGGAAATCAGTCTGTGATATCCACAAGACACAAACAAAAGTAGCCATGTCCTTGGGGTGTAGCTGATGTTTCAGATGTGACTGATAAAAAGCACTTGTATTTACTTTACTAAGGAATTATCTCAAGAGTGGCCGACAAATAAGTTTGTCTCCTCAATAAAAGGCACTGCTTACCTTATATGGAGGCTGTGGATGGACCAGAATTCCACCTTCTGTACGTTGGAGAGACTGTTTCACCTGTTCTACTTTGATGGCAAGATGCGCTTCAAAATATCTGCGCATAGCCATGCAAGTGTGTTTCCCAGTCTGCCGGCTAGCAAATATTTCATCATCACTCAGCAGAGCACCTTGAGTTTGCAGGTTTAAGATATCAAGAGTGCTAATCTAGAAAGAGAAAGAAACATCTCTGCTGTCATTTCATTCCTAACTTATTTCTAATGCTCATTTCTTTATCATTTCAAAAAGGCAGCTTTTTCAGTCAAACCTGTGCACTAAGAAGCTGGATTAATGGTATTGTCTATTCTTTCAAATATATAAAGCAACTTGACAAAGCAATTCTAAAAAAACCCCTATGATTTATTAATTTGAATTTAAAGTGAATCTAGATCCACTTAAAAAGTTATTATACAAAGTACCCAGAAAGGCAGAAACTGGAGAATTGGAAGAGTAGGGCAGTAGCATTATGTCACTGGTGATTTTGTCCTCTCTATTAACTCTTAGTGCAGCAATAAAACTATCTAGTTTCAATGCTATGGAGAGGGAAGAGACACCTTAGTAAACTGCTAATCTTGCTACCAAAGAGCCAGTGTGGTGTAGCGATTAAGAGCATGGGACTGGGAGTCAGACAATCTGGGTTCTAGTCCCTGCTCAGCCATGGAGCCAACTGGGTGACTTTGGGCCAGTCACAGACTCTCAGCCCAACCTACCTCACAGGCTTGTTGTGGGGATAAGATGGAGGAGGAGAGTGATGTAGCTGCCTTGAGCCCTTTGAGGAAAAAGGCAGGATATAAATTGATAAATAAATGAATAAATCAATAGATAGATAAATAAATAAATGAGATCTAATCCTTTTCTCTATTACTACTCTTTTAAAATATGCTAACATCAAACATTAACACTGCTTTCACCACCAGAATCAATTTGCTCCCTGCAATTCTTTGAAATGTAATGTCTATAAAATTATTATTATTCTAAATGTGACTAGATGGGAGAGTGAGAATAAGAGAAACTATGTATCTCCAAATGCACAGGTGGTAAATAACAAAGTAAAATTTGTAGTGTTCCTGCTGCCTCCTCTCTCTATTCCACTGCAGAAAATCTGCAATAGAACCTAGTAAATCATCAAAAAAGCAAATACTTTGCACAAGGTGAGGTCAGCTGAGATACAGCACTTACCAGTGGGAAAGAACACTCAATGGCACCGCAAAAAAGGGGAAAGACAGTAGTTCTGAGACAATATGGAACACAAGTGCTGTAATACTTACCAAGTTAACTAGACGCCGTAAGCCATCATGCCTATCAAAGAGTTCTAAGACTGCACGGAATGAGAAGCAAATCGAGAAAAACATGGTAGCATGGCAGCAACCTGAGGCATGAGAGCACTCCATCAACCACAAGGTGTAGTTGACAACATCTGATAGCACATGGGGATGCATGCACACCTGCAGAACAAGAAAATGCAATCACAATCTTCATTTCCATTCATCTTGTGACCTCCCCATGTTGATGAGGAAAGTCTGCAGCAGAAACACTACCATGGTCAGCGATCAGGAAGCTCCCCATTGCATGGCATTCCACATCTGCCTGGGTACGTTGCAAGTAGAGGGGGAGGGCTGCAGTACATGTCCCCCATTCCCCTCCACAATTACAACTGTTGGATGCCTGGACAGGGCTACCATTAGGATGCAAGCTGAGAGGCATCACAGAGATCTTTCCAATTGCTCTCATTCCTTCAAAACTCCTGGATATACCTGGCTCAAAAAGAGCTAGCCCAAAATCAATATGGATGGATTGCACTGTATGTATCTTATTACTGTTCTTTTTTAGAAATTGGTTGGTGCAGACAGGGCTCAGACAGATTTCTATGAGCATGCGGCCTGACCACTTATTTCAGTGTTGGGGCAAGCTTCATGCATATAATGGGAAGGAATATGTGAAACTGCCTTTCAACACTTAAAATTGAAGGGAGAAAGCCACACTCAGCATTCCTGTTTTTCACTCTGAATCTGAACTCAGATTACCACTTTGTCTGAATTAAGATGGTTGTTGGCATCTAATGATGGACAGATTATCCAATGATGGACAAATTATCATCCCATTTTGAACATGCTGAGAACTGCATGATGAAAATCCAACAAGTGATACAAAGATGTTAAACCAATTGTTTGGTCATGGGATCCCCAATTTTGGGGGCTTATTTGGAATTTTGTTGTAGACAATAGGTTGCCATGTCAGAGAATTAACCCTTCACAAATTGGTAACCATTGTGGGCATAGCCAGTCACAAAATACCCATTTTCCAAATGGCAAGCTGGTGAGGCTAAAAGAAGAGTAACTTCACCCAGAACACAAGGACAAGGCAGAAGTGGAATCTGAATTCATAAGCACTTTCTGAATTGGTTTCTTTTCCAGCTCCTAGTTCACAAAGGCAGACTGATGGAATCCAGAAACAAGTAATCATATTTTTTGTCATATTACAAGACAGAGGTGGATCCCTAAGCCCAAATCACTAAAAGACACAACAAAATACCTATTTCACAGAAGACAAACTGGTGATGCTCAGAGAAACATATACAAGTAAATTTATTTTTTAAAAAATCAAAAAGGGCAAGAGGTCTTGCAAGCAGTGAGAGATGTGTCCATTGGTACACTGGCACCTACAGGCAACCATATTGGAGACCATAGGATTAAGGTACCATAAAATAATTCCAGTCTCCACATGAAGAAGATGGTTGTAAAGACCAATAACATAAGCATAACTTCCAAGAATGTTCAGTATTTACAACCTTTGTAAGCAGGAGGGGATCTTACCCTTTCCATGGCATCCTGATTGTAGGACAAATAGTATAAACACATGGAGACACCCGTAGCAGCCATAGAAGGACGAGGAATCTCTAGTAGCTTCTGTACTCCTCCATGAGCAACAAATTCTGTTGCAAACTTGTTGTGCAGCAGCAGCGATGCCAAATACTGTGGATGGAAACAAAGTCAGTGTGGAAATCACCAGCTACAACCTCTCAGCACTCCGCAAACACAATTGAAATGCTCTTTTGTGCAATTTGTACAGCATGGAAAAATAATAATCAGCCCACCTTCTTTGCTCTGACCTTTTCCACAGTACCCTAGATATAGAAGAACACCTTCTAATTCTGGCACCTCTGAAATTTATTAACTTTATAAAGGAGCATCTTTGAGGAATACAAAAGCACTAGATATTTACATATACCTAAAACACAAATTTTGTTTGGAATAGTCATATATTTCGAAGTTAAAATTCAAAAAGGTTCTGAGCAAGGGGCAGCCACTCCTATGTTTTGCAGAACTAAGTGCAAGAACTGCAGCCATGTTCTTCAATTTCATCTCAAGGCAAGAAGCATCAGAACTTTGCATAAACCTATTTTATGTCCCATTAACTTTGAGGATGGTGTGGGGAGAGTCAAAAGAAGCAGGACAGAAAAATGAAACATTCTGAGTGTAGCAGCAAGGAAATGTGAGATTCAATTTCACAATTCTTTGGAACTACATCACCTAAATTTGAAATCTTTCCTGGTCCATGAGGAATCTCTGCACACTTATTTTGCCTTAAAGGGGCACTTTTAAGGACTGAAACAGTTAAGTATCTGGAGCACAGAGAAGTTAAGAAATATAATTAAGTAACCACAGTCAATTCCAGGATTAGAAGGAAGCAATATTAAACTTCAGTTCATTTGCTCCAAAAGACTGGCCTTTTGTTACAAAACTGAGGCCTAACATAGTGAAAAACTGATGAATGGCAGGACCAGCAAAACAACCAGAGGGAAAATAATGAACCCGTGTGATGGTGAGAGTGTTGTGACTGGAGACCTATTGACCCTATGAAAAATGGCAAAGAGGATGGATAGATTTGTCAAACCCATAGAACCAAAGCATATATACTCCAGGCTGTTTTACTACTGACGTACTAAATAGTTTATCAGATATACAGGAGCAGGATGATTCCTTTCACTGACTGCCCAATATGAATAACTAACACACTATCATCACTGTTTAAATAAGCAGCTTACTAGGCTGTCATTACCTTCAAGGCTTCAAAAGTGAGCAGTACATCATTGGTCCGCTTCAAATCAATATAAAACATCATCAGATCTCTTGATCCAAGTTGCATGAAGATGGGCAGCAGCTGATGAAAGTAAAAGATTTGTTTATGCACAAAAATGTAATAAAATTCTAGTGTCCATATTCAGTGTTATTCTTTTCCCATGCCCTACTAACAGCAAACAAATAGTGATGATAACCACAGCTACAGCCGTGGCCCTCCACCACTAAGGGATTTTCTTTTACATCTCCAGTGCCCAGAGCTCCTCATACAGGTTGCTCTTCCCATGCTATGATTAGCCATGACGAAAGAACCATCTGTACTGAGATTGCGAGAGAGAGAGTTTATGCGTGTGCGGCAATGCACATACATATGCAACCACACACACGCATGTGCAGCATACACATGTGGTCCCACACACGTGGCACTCAGAAATGAAAAGACAAAACAACTATGAACAGATTACAGTTAATATATTTGATTAGGAAACATTAACAAAATTGCATCCTAGATCTTCTCACTGGCTTGCTGTTTGCATTATGCTCAAGACACATCTTGAATTGCTTATTATGTTCTTGCTAGCACAATTTAAGTTCTTCATAAAACAAACCCACACATCATCCATTTGATCACTTTCTAAATACCCACCTCTTGATACTCTCCTAGTGGAGTCAGATACTGCAGAATTAGTCTTTGTTCTATAGCAGGGGTCAAAGGAAATAAGTTATAGTTCGTGCCAATCACCCAAGGAGACATCTCAGACCAGCTGCTATTGGACAGTTCAACAAACATCTTTTCTGGTTCTGAAGAAAAGCCAAGTTTTTGTTTTGCTTTCCGGAAATTCTCTCTTTCATGTTGCTTCCCTGATTTTTTTATGGCTGAGTTCACCCGACTACTAGTTTTGTGATTTGAGTCAAGATTGAACGAGATGTCCATATCCCCCGCAGCTTCCTCCTGCTCACCATCCACTGCTATCTCCCCATAATCCATGTCCACAGCCTCTTCATCTAGAGGCAACAGAGGGTCTGATGGCACTTTTCGAGGGCTGGGCCGCTTATTTTCATGTTTTGTGTTCATTTCATGGACTTGCAGCTCTCGCAAGCGCTGAAGCACAAAAGCCACCTGTTGCAAAAAGATGTCAACACATTATGGTTGCATAAATCCAGTAAATTCAAGTCACGTTCCCTTCTGGAAACCATTTTATTTTATTCATTCATTCAATTTATGAGTTGCCCTGCAGCTGAAACACTCAGAAAGACATAAGTAATTTTAAAAAACCCCACAATAAAATCAAATTCCAAGTACATGAAACAATTTTTAATGTTTTAAAAAGAGCAAAATTAATTTTAAACTATTTTAAAAGAAGAAATAAATATTCAAGTGGCCAAAGCATACAGCAAGCAGCACTTAAAATTGTTAAATCCTGAGCAAATAAAAAGGGGTTGCTCCAGCTACTTCCCCCACCACCAAAAAAAAGGTCATACCAGGCAGACTTCTCTGATGAGGACATTCCACCATTTGTGGGGCCATCAAAAAAAGAACTGCTGATTGGGCAGCAGCCCCCAAAAGAAGGAACCAAGTTAGGAGTAGGGGGGAATGGATATTATTGTAAACACAGTGGACTGCAGCCCATACCAGCCCATTTTGAATATTCAAGCTACAACCGTAAGTACTAGCCTGATCACTGCAGTCCTCATCCGAAGTCTTCCTCTGTGTTCCTCCAACAAAGTAAGGGGGGAGAGTACAAGGAAGAGGGCTTTTCCAATTAGAGTGTTCCAACTCTGGAATTCAATTCTGCTGGCGGTTCAGTGGGCACCTAACTCTTCTTTCTTTTAGGCCCCAACTTAAGATGTGTTTGTTCCATTGTTATTTTTGACAGGTGAATTGTTGGTTTATTTTTAATGATGATTTAAAGATTTTATACCATGCTGCTGCCTTGTGATTCTATTAATTTATGTTAGATATTGATCTTGTTTTAATTGGTTTATGTCCTTATTGTTTGGATCACCACATATGATTTTTATCTTATTTGTTTGATCATCTTTATTTTGTCTTATTAATTTTAGTAACTTTTATTTATGGACTTTTATTGTTTATTGGTTTGATTGTGAACTGTGGATTTTATTGTGCTATATACTGTACTGCATTTTATACATTATGGATTTTATTGTGTTGTAAGCTCCCCAGAGAGCTTATGTCTGAAGAGGTGGCATAACCAACCAACCAACCATTTGAACTCAATATATGAAAACTCAGGTTATTTGTCATGTCATCCAAACCATGGTACCATGAGTCATGCAAGAGTTAAATAACCCTAAAACAGGCCATGCATCCATGGAAAACAGGTTCAAATGTCACAAGAAGCCACAGTTGTAGTGCAAATATTCAGGATTGCTAAACCTGTTTTATTGGTGTGGTAACTATATCAGTTTATCTGGCTGCTAGTTTGTTTTATTTACTTCACTGAAGTTTTTCCTCTGATCTAATTTTTATTTTGTTTGGGGTTCTTAAATGCTAGTGTTAAACGTCATTTGCTAGTCAGGCAGAATATAAATTTAGCAACACTCCCACTCCAGATTTGTATTTTGAAATTAATAAACCACACTGACCCCATGTACAGCTACAGAAGAGACTGTCTGAGACACTGAGCAAACAGCAAATATGCAAGAACCAATATGCTGGTATAAAACCACGTCCTCCATTTATGTAGTATGAAAACATCACCACACAGTACTGCAATTTCCCTACAATGTTACAAACACTGTCACTTCTGAAATCACATGTGAGAAAGGAGCCCAACACATGTCTTAGGGTCTTGAGCTCTATAAGATTTTCAAGTACTCGTTTTGCAGTGGGATACAGTATATTTGCCACGGGTATTACCAATTGAGAATTCTCATCTCTGTAATTTGCGGCAATATCTTGGTTCTCCATGGCACCACCTAGTAATCCAGTTGCATATGTTCTCAGAGGCTGATCAGCTTCTCGTGCCCATTTAAACAGATTCTCGACTATACCTTCCTAGAGTTGTGAGAGGCGGGAAAGAAGACAGATTACAAGACCTAAATTCTTTTCTCTACAGTCTATACCAATCACAGGTCAAACTACTCCAATATAAAATAATAATCATCATAACAACAATAACACCAACAACAACAACCACGGTGCATGTCAGCATTTTCCAGGAAGGATAATTAATACCGCATAATGTGAATTACTTTCCACAGGGATCTTGAAATGCTAATGTGGACTCCATAAGGAGTCAGCTATGCTTCTATCAGTATACAAGTAGTATAGTTTATATTGTTCTTTGTACCAACAAATTTTCAGATTTACCAGTCAGAGCCCTAGAGTCCATGAATCAATGGAACTGCTAAAAGAGTCAGCCTCTGAAGTAAAGATGTGAATATACAAGGAAAATGGCCTTTGTTGCAATTTTTATGTAGGAGCACCTGCTGTTCAAGAATAAGCCACTCTTTAAGCTGAACTGTAATATACATCTCCATCAAGTGAAATGTGGTGCAGAAAAAGCATCTTAAAAGCTGTAGTGGTGCAGTTTTCCCCTTAAACACCTGGCACTTCTTAGGATCATAGCCACAGATGCTTTCAGAGTGTGCAAAAATATTCCATTGCTGCTTACCAGCTACTTATTACAGTTGGAAGTTATATGCGTATGAAAGTTTGCTGATTGAATGCAGCCAGTGCGTCTTCTGCATAGCCACCACAGTAAGCCAGAAACCCTATCTAAATAGATCACAATGTGAATTAGTTCACTGTTACATCTCGTTCACTGGAACCTGCTTTGATTCTACCTTCATGCAAGCAGGTAAATTAAGTAGTTTTGTATTATGACTGAGCCCACAAGTATGGTTTGGAGCATCTAAACAAATAAGAATTAGGTAATCCTGGCTTGTTTGAGTGTATTTAACTATCCTCCTGGGTTTAAGACATAACACTTAATGCTTCCTGGTTCATTCACCCATTTGTACAAAACGAGGAGAAATGTAAGAGCAAATGGGCTGGGTGTTCCAGTATGCTGTTTCCTTGCTGTTGTCATTTATGAAGGCAAAGATTTCTGGCTCAATGTGGTGTCCAAATGCAGCCATTCTCAAAAAGTCCACAAGGCCATTGTTAAGTCACACTGAGGTCTAGGGACTACTCATAAGTAAATTTGTAAACTTGTATCCTTATAGGAAAAAAATCCATTGAACTGGTAAAACATTTTCCCAACAAATTTTTGAAGAAAGAGCAGCCTGCTTCACAAAAAAGCACCCAAAAACTACTTCTGCTTGCAACTATGCAAGACAACGTATGGTTACTGAGTAGACAGAAAGTGGCTTTTACTAATGCTCAGAGTTCATCTAACTTTTTTCTTTCTAAAGATCTGAAATTACTATTATATAGCAAAAATGTCCTAAAATGTGCATGTCTACCACCAGGAACTAGCAACTTTTGTAACCTTATTTGCAAGGCTGCTATAATGACTACAAGATGCCTTGGAAAGCAAATGTTCAGCTAATCAACCCATGCTTTGTTACATAGCTGTTCTCTATCCTGCTCAGTCTACAGAAAAACAAAGGTGATAACAAAATACAGATGTTCAACTCAGCCCAGCAGCTTTGTTTCATTTAATCCGAAAACTGTTAATGGCAAAATATATGAATATAAGGTCTTGACTATACAGAATATATAGAAAAGGAAGTAGAGAAAGACCACTAAAATGTTCAACATGATGTTTTAGTATGTATCCTCTTATATCTTATACCTTCTCCTGAAAGACAACAGCAGTCTCCAGCCCAGGCATGATGTCCAAAAGGAGTCGACAGGCTGCAGTATTCAATGGCGGTTCTCTGCTTGTCATCACGTAAGCATTCACCAGCTGAGAGGAGACCAGGAATAGAATTAAATAGACCTCTTAATTTTTAAAAAAATGTTATATATGAAGGAGAAATTTGCTTACTATGCAATCTTGGACTGAAAGACATGCTAGAATTTTAATTCCCTATTCTGAATAAATAGGTTATAATAGCAGAGTATTCAGTTACCGGTCTGTTCACAAAATGGCTCCTTCCATTCGAAAGGGCACTCTGAACCTACTTGGGGAAGGGAGAATCAATTTTCACCAATTCCTCATTCTCCAGCAACCTGCAGTGCTATTTTATATATTGCTACAGAGCAGATTTTTGGGGGGAACTTAAGGCTGCAGAGAGTAAGGGACATTGCTGAAAATCACCTCTATACCTCCATCCCACCAGCAGGAGTATCCTATTTGCAGAATTTCAAGAGATCCATGCTCATGTCCTTTACAGATCGGGTGGTGGTGATGGCAACACTTAAAAGTTTTAAAAAGCAGGAATGCTCTGGCATTCAACTTTAGTGTAAGCATTTCAACAAAGATTTTTATTAGGGAAGTGTAAAAACAGAGGATATACAGTGGTACCTTGGCTCACGAACATAATCCATTCCAAGACTCTGGTCACGACCCAAATTGGTCATAAGCCAAGTCAAATTTCCCCATAAGATTCAATGTAAATAAGGTTAATCCATTTTGTAACTTTTTTTTTAAATCACACAAATTTGAACCAAAGTGACAAAGGACAACAAAGATCGCAGCCATCTCCCCCCTCCCCCCCAAGCATGAGCGTGGCCATCTCCCCCCTGGACCTGCTTTTACATGGGGCTACAGTGCAAATATTATATTTTAGGTATAATGGGCTACCTAGTTATGTGACCACTCCAGTTTTTTTTATGTACAGCAAAAACAAATTATCTGAAGTACAGCTTAAATGAAATAAAGCTTAACTGCATTTGTCATTGCCTACAAATCATTTCCAGCTACAATGCTTCCAAAAATTTCAAAATTTAATCTTTACTTTTCTGGAAAAGACAGGGCAAAGGGACATTTCTATAAGATGGCATTTCAGACACATTTGAATTTAAATTCTCATTTGAACATAAATTTTGTCAACACTGCTGTGAATTTAAATGGAATATTTTGCTATTCCTTTTCAAGATTAAAAGATGACTGAGCAACAAAAATGGCACTGGTTACTAGCTGTTAAGTGCAGATCTATGGATAAATATAAAGGGCAAACCCACTGCATTCATGAAATCATCGTTCTTGAACAATATTCTCAGTAAATGGCCAAGCATACATTTTGGATCTGCCCGACCTGAAAAGAAAACAGACAAAAATGTCAACTAGTCAGCCATACTTGAGCGAAAAAAGCAACAAAATATAAAATAATGCATAAATTATGATAAACCATGCATGGCTACTTAAACTATATCTGGTTCCCTAGTCAACACTAAGGTTTTTTGTTAAAAATGAAAAGATGGTTCATATTCCATTTTTCCTTAACTATATTCTGTATTGCATATTGTTTAAAATAAAATTATACAGTACAACAAACAAGCCCAAACAACAAGTAATGCCAAGTAGCTGGTCTTAAATATAAGTAAATTATCAAGTGGGGAGAGAGAAGAGAGCGTAATTAAGTCAGAACTATATTTCAAAAATGTATTGAATACGAAATGTATTATTACACTAGCTGACATTCTTTGCATTAAAGTATCAAGAAACTGAATGTTTAGAGTTACTAAAGAATTTCAAAATATGAAATCTGGCCAGCTAAGCACACCCGATTCTATACTTTACAATGTATTCTTGTTTCTATTTCTTTAATGCATAATAAATTTTTGAATCATCATATTAGAAAAAGCTTTCATGCATAAGTCAATAGAAGATAAATACTGGGATTTCCTGTTTCATGAAATTAATCATTAGATTGACTTAATGCCAACTGCTTAATCCAAACTGCCAGTAAATCCCAAGTGGTTAGGATATAACAAGTACAGCATATACAAAAAAGGAAGAGAAGATTGCAGCACTAGCTCAATCCACCTGATAAGACCGATTCAAAAGCAAAACAGAAAAGCAGTCCTGCATAGTATGGTATACCATGCCTCGACTCGCGTGACATCCTCAGCATTAAGCCCTCATTTTTATCAATTGACCTTCATGGCATCCATTATGTCCACATCAGCAATTTTTGCTGGGTCATCTTTCAGAACTGCCTTCCACTTGCCTGGCGACAGCAGGCTTTCATTTTTTATTTCAAGCCTCTTCACTCTATTTCTAATTTGCTTAAAGACACATCACCAGCTAAAAACTTAGTGGATTATGTCCAGAATGGGCAGCAAAAGGGGTTTCAGAAGTTTCACAAGAAGCAACTAAATAGATAACTGAATGTGTTGCCACTATGCTGATTTAGCTATATCATCCATGGAACTAGGGCTTCAACATTGTTCATCACCTGGTCCAATTACTCGTAAATGGTCACATTTCAACCAAGGACACCAAAGAAAATATTTACCTACCATTTTCACTCTACAAATATGCTTAAAGTCCATGCAAGGGATGTTTCTCTAAAACTGCTGTTCAATGTGTTTAGGGCTAAACAAAAGCCTGAGTTGCAGGAATCGCAGATAGAGTTGTGCAAGTACAGCTCTATGGTCTATTTTCTGCGTGCGCACATGCACCCTCTCTCACTCATATAGATGGGAACAATCTTGCACTGAATTTCCATATACTCTCGTTGCAGCTTACCAGGGTGTCTATCATCAAATGGATCTGGATCTCGCTTGCGGTACTCTTCTGTTTCCTTCTCAATCAATTCTGACATTCTAGAAAGTGAATGAAAAAAACATGAGCCACCTGAACTCATATTTGAATTCCTGATTCTAAAGGAAGCAAAAGCTAACTATAGCCAAACATGTACCCTGGATTTTAGGAAAGCCAGTATTAATAAATTCAGAACAATGATAAATAAAGTCCCATGGCAGGCAACTCTAAGGAGTCCAAGATGAGTGGGAATTTTTTAAAAAGGAAATTCTAAAGGCACAATTTCAAACAACTGCAACAAGGAAAAAGGGTAAAAGACAACAGAAGCAGCCCATGTGGCGTCACAAAATGCTTAAAGATGATCTGAAAACAAAGAGAGAGAGATCCACTATGATATAGTGGTTAAGAACACGGATATGGAACTCAGGTGGTTTGGGTTCTAGTCCCCACTCAGCCATGGAGCCAGTGGGCTGACTTTGGGACAGTCACAGAATCTTAGCCCAACCTACCTCACAGGGTTGATGTTGTGGGGATAATTCTGAAAGCAGGAAGAGACTAAGGTTAGCTGCTTTGAGTTCTTTTTTTTAAAAGGCAGTATATAAATCTAATTAATAAATAAGAACATGTATGGGAAGTAGAAGATAAGCCAGGCTACACAAGAAGAATACAGGGAGGTAGCATGGAAGTGGAGGGATGGCATTAGGAAGGCAAAAGCTAGGAATGAAATGAGGTTAGCAAGGCATGGAGACAAGTAACAAGTGGAGTATCACAGGGTTCATTCCTGGGCCCAGTACTCTTCAACATTTTAATTAATGATTTGGATGAGGGTTAGAATTAGGGAAAGATTATCATATTTGAAGATGAGACAAAACTGGGTGAGATAGCTAATACTCTGGAAGGCAGAAAGAAGATTCAAGGTGATCTTAATAGGTTGGAGCACTGTGCTGAAAACAACAGAACGAAATTCAGTAGGGACAAATGCCAAGTTCTGCAGCTAAGAAAAAGAAACCAAATGTATCATTACAAGATGGGGAATACTTTGCTTAACAATACTGCAAGAAAGAAGAACTTTGGAATTGCTGTAGATCACAAGCTGAATATGAGTCAGCACAATGTGGGCACAAAAAGGGCATAATATATTTTAGGCTGCATTAATAGAAATATCACTTCCAAATCCCATGAAGTACTAGTTCCTCTTTACTCAGCACTGGTTAGGCCTCATCTGGAGTATTGTGTCCAGTTCTGAACATCATATTTTAAGAAAGCTGGAAAGGGTTCAGAGGAAGGCTACAAGGGGACTGGAAATAAGCCCTATGAGGAGAGATCAAAAGAACTGGACATGTTTAGCCTTGAGAAGAGAAGACTGAAGAGGGGATATGCAAAGCACTCTACAAGTACTTGAAAGGCTGGCACAAAGAGGAATAAAAGGCTCTGTTTCTGATCATCTCAGAGTACAGGACACGGAATAACAGACTCCAGTTACAGGAGGCTAGGTTCTGACCAAACATCAGGAAGAACTTCCTGACTGTTGCAGCAGTATGGCAATGGAACCAATTACCGTATTTTTTCACTCTATAAGACGCACTTTTTTCCCCCCTCAAAAGTAAGGGGAAATGTCTGTGCGTCTTATAGAGCGAATGTGTGTGTGCCCAACGCCCAGGACGCTGCCGGCCGCCTGCACCACGTGGCACCACCTGGCCAGCACACGCTCGGCACGCCCTGCTCCGCCCCCCCTCTCCGGCGCAGGTGAGAGCTGTGCCGCTCAGGGGGAGAGGTGCGGAGGAGGAGGAGTCGCGGGCTTTAACCCGCCGGCCGCACGGAGAGACAGACTGCTCACCCCCACCGCCTGGGAAGACCTGCCGCGGAGGAGGAGCAGCCGCGGGCTTTAACCCACCGGCTGCATGGAGAGACGGACTGCTCACCCCCACCACCAGGGAAGACCTGCTGCCACCACTGCCGCACCACCCGGAAGACCACCGCCGGCATGCTGCCGGCCTGGCTGCACCACACCTGGCCAGCACGCACTCGGTGCGCCCTGCTCTGCCCCACTCCTCCGGCGCAGATGAGAGCTGTTAATCACAGGTCGGTGTATGTTTTTAAATGGAAACTTGTCTTTTAATGAAGCCCATGGGGAAGTGATGGGGAATGTGCCTGTGATTATCAGGAAGCTTTCCATGGATCCCTCCTCTAAAAACTAGGTGCATCTTACGGTCAGGTGTGTCTTATAGAGCGAAAAATATGGTAGCTACAGAGGTTGTTGGTTCACTTACACTAGAGGCATCCAAAATGCAACTACAGTGGTACCTTGGCTCACAAACTTAATCCGTTCCAAGACTCTGGTCGTAACCCAAATTGGCCATGAGCCAAGTCAAATTTCCTCATACGGTTCAATGTAAATGAGGTTAATCTGTTCTGTAAATATATATTTTTTAATCACAGGCAAAGATTGTTCTATTTTCTAGGTATTTTAATAATTAAAATTTTAATTTTTATATTTTATAACTGTCTATATTTTTATTAATTTTAATTGATCTTAAACTGCTATATTATTCCTATTGTTATATTTTCTGGAATCTTTTATCATATTATTGATTTTAATGCAATGTACACTGCCCAGAGAGCCCTACATTGGGCTATAGGTTTTGATTTTGTAAACTGGCCAGGGAGGCTTTGAGTTGATGAGCAGTGTAACAGTATAATTAACAAGCAAACAAATGTAAGTAGGATAGAGTCTCCTATATTGTGCCCTTAGTGTCAAGACATCTCTATTAGTACTCACCAGGTTCCCTGCCCCTCCTCATTTTAATTCTCTTAAGATGTTTAAAAATGTTTTTAAAACTGGGAAGTTGCCATGTTACAACACAAAGTTCAACATCAACTTCAGGTGCATTCAACAGAATGATTTAGTGTTGTGAAGCTCAGACTTCACCTTTGCTTCAGCTCTTGGGCAAATCAGTTTTCCTTTTAGCTTCACCAGTTTCTCTTCTAGGAAATTAATGCTTAGTGACTGGACCTGCCTATGATGACGGTCATTGCATGAATGAGCAAACCCATCCCAAGGCAGGTACCTGGTGAGTGCCTACCAATCCAAAAAGGTTGGGGATCGCTGGGTGTAGTACACAGTGTGTGATCATTCTTTTGAATAAGCATATTTACCGAGTAAGGATAGGAACCATGTCTTGTCCGCTGCCATGTTCTTTCTCCCACTGTTCCAGCAAAGCAGTTAGCTCAGCCTTAGAATCCACAAGCTCAGAACTTGAAGTCATGACTCACCCTAAAGGCAAGAGGGAAGAGAGCAAGACTGATTTGAAAATAGCTCAACTATGAAGCAATGCTTCTCAAAAGAAAAGTTAAAAATCTCCCTTTTGAAAAGAGCAAAATTATTAAAACCTAGTTAAGTTCATACACTTGTGCACACACCTTTAGCACATCCATGCTGAGCATATTATGCTTCTGGAGCAGTGCTCCCTCTTCACCTACAGGGGACAGCCTACACCACATACCTGGAAATCTAGTGTGACACAGGTTTCTGCCCAGAGACCCACTGCATTCCCCCACCCTCGCAATTATCATCTGTGCTTGTACATCAAGAGCATAACAGAGTCTAACAGGCTCCTTTCCTGAAACTATGAAACAAACCCGTGCTGAAAGACTGTTACAACATGTAGCTACCCCACCTGCTGCTGTTCATCCCTGTCTGACTTCCTCAGAATTAGAGGTAAAGAAAAAAACTGAAGAGAAGCCACTGCAGCAGTAGTGCTGGAGAAGTAATCAGCAAGGTTTGGGAAGATCACGTGGTAGCTTGCTTACAGTACCAGCTCTGGTTCCACTATACCCAAAAATAAGCTCTTTCCTTCTTTCAACTCTCTCAACACTTTGCCAGCCTCGGAAAGTTAATACAGCTTGCCCAACTGATGAGTGTTTCGTTAACAACAATGAACCTTGAAGTCACTGCACCAAGGAAGGTAATGCTGTACTGCATGTGTGCTTGTGCCAGCAACAGTAAGCAAAAGAGAAGGCTCTACTTCCACCTCCTCCAACTTGTGTCATCCAGGTGTTTTGGACTACAACTCCCAGCATGCCTTATTTTTGAGTAGAGCTAAAGTCCAAAACCTTAGTCAGGGGGGCACCAGATTCAGGAAGGCTCTTCCTGGTAACTGGGACATTTTGTTCACAGGAAAAACAAACATTTTATTTTAAAAATCAAACAAAACACCAAGCTCAAGGAAGCAAGGTTCAATTTGGATGCCAGGAAGTACTTCCTGTTGGTTAGAGTATGGGATGGGCTTCCACAGGAGGTAGTTGAAGCCCCATCGGTGAGGGTGTTCAAGGATGGTCTTGACATGCACATGGTAGGCGTGTCATGAGAAGAGCTGGCTGGAGGCGGGGGTCAGACTAGATGGCCCAGGAGACCCCTTCTGACTCGCTCAGTTTCTGTGTTTCTAAAATGGACACTGACCTCGAGCCAGACATCCTGGAATGTGAAGTCAAATAGGCCTTAGGAAGTCTGAGCAACAACAAAGCTAGTGGAGGTGACAGTATTCCAGCTGAGCTATTCAAAATCCTAAAAGACAATGCAGTAAAAGTGCTACACTCAATATGCCAGCAAATTTGGAAAACTCAACAGTGGCCACAGGATTGGAAAAGGTCAGTTTACATTCCCATCCCAAAGAAGGGCAATGCCAAAGAATATTCAAACTACCGCACCATTGCACTCATTTCACATGCTAGCAAAGTGATGCTCAAAATCCTACAAGCTAGGCTCCTGCAGTATGTGGACCCAGAACTACCAGAAGTACAGGCAGGATTTTGAAGAGGGAGAGGAACTAGAGATCAAATTGCCAACATATGCTGGATCATGGAGAAAGCTAGGGAGTTCCAGAAAAACATCTACTTCTGCTTCATTGACTATGCTAAAGCCTTTGATTGTGTAGATCACAACCAATTGTGGCAAGTTCTTAAAGAGATGGGAGTACCAGACCATCTTATTTGTCTCTTGAGAAACCTATATGCGGGTCAAGAAGCAACAGTGAGAACTGGACACAGAACCACTGACTGGTTCAAAATTGGGAAAGGAGTTTGGCAAGGCTGTATACTGTCACCCTGCCTATTTAACTTATATGCAGAGCACATCATGAGAAAGCTGGAGCTAGATGAATCACCAGTTGGAATTCAGATTGCCGGGAGGGACAAATATCAACAACCTCAGATATGCAGATGATACCACTCTCATGGCAGAAAGTGAAGAGGAACTAAAGAGCCTCTTGATGCGGGTGAAGGAGGAGTGTGCAAAAGTTGGCTTGAAACTCAACATTAAGAAAACTAAGATTATGGCATCTGGTCCTCTCACTTCCTGGCAAATAGATGAGGAAGAAATGGAGGTAGTGACAGATTTTATTTTCCTGGGTTCCAAGATCACTGCAGATGGGGACTGCAGCCAAGAAATTAAGACACTTGCTCCTGGGGAGGAAAGCTATGGCAAATCTAGACAGCATACTAAAAAGCAGAGACAGCACCCTGCCAACAAAAGTGCGTATAGTCAAGGCTATGGTTTTCCCAGTGGCAATGTATGGCTGTGAAAGCTGGACCATAAGGAAGGCTGAGTGCAAA